CTCCTAAAGTAGAAAGTAGAATTAAAGAACATAAAAACGTGTTCCTCCTTCACTCTTCAATCCCTTTTCTTTTGAATACTTATTAAAAAGCACAATATATAATTATAAAAAAGAGTAAAAATAATTCAATGCAAAACATATTTTTTCTTTATTTAAGATGAGAGATAGTTTGCTATTCAGTGTAACTGTTAAGCGTGTAGATACTTTAGCACTGCTCTGGTATTTAATCAAACTCTAAAAATTCACGAAACCTCTTACAATTTTATACACTGGTCTCTTTCTCAACTTCCTTACTTGAGCGCCGCACAACACTCAGCTTTGTAGCTGTAGGGGCTGGGGGAGGGTTTTATCAATAAGTATTTTAGTGGTTATTTATGGTAAATATACTAAGGTTGGTGATGTATGATTTTAGGCCTACGCACCTTAATTTAATTTATGAATCCTTTTTTGTTTCATTTCATTTTAAAATTTTCAAAATCATACTATTTTCCTGTATCTATCTATCTCGCGAAAAACGAAAAATATTGTTTTTATAATCTTATTTTCAACTTAAACTATTTATTCATATATTTATTTGTAGTTTGTACTAGATACTTAAGATATTAAAAATACTAGATATAAATAATAAAAAAGATCACATATTTGAGATCTAGCCGATCATTAAGATCAATTAAGATGGATTGATTGATCATAGACTGAATATTCTCTGGAACATTGATTTCACGCCTCTCACAAATCCTTCAGGGGTATCGTCTATAGCGCGGACATCTTTAGCCACCTGGAATACGTAGATAGTTAATTATTTATATAGTCATATTTGAATACATAGATAACAAAACTTTGTAGATTTNAATTATTTATATAGTCATATTTGAATACATAGATAGTTAATTATGTATATAGTCATATTTGAATACGTAGATAGTTAATTATTTATATAGTCATATTTGAATACATAGATAGTTAATTATTTATATAGTCATATTTGAATACATAGATAGTTAATTATTTATATAGTCATATTTGAATACATAGATAGTTAATTAGTCATGTTGTGTGGGAGTTCAGAATTGTTTAGGTTTACATAAAGTTTGAATAGATTAACTCAGTTCTCATCAAATCTTTTGTTTTAACCAGGCTCAAAATATATTCGACAATTTTTCAGAACTGTGTTGTTTTATATTTTGTTGTTTTGTATTCTCTCTCTACTGTTTTAGCCGAGGATTAAACTGAGTTTTCATGTGAAAATATACATTTTATAAACATTTTACACAAATTCAATGTTTACATACATTCTTGTATACGATGCTGTATATATACATACAGACAAGCAGTTAAATAAAAATGTGTTTTTGTAGACAGATAGACAGACAGGTAAACAGACAGATAAATAGACAGATACAAAGACAGGTAAAAAAAGATAAATAGACAGATATACAGATAGACAAACAGACGGATAAACATAGCTATTAATACATAGGGCCAAATTTATCGACAGACAGATAGATAGACAGAAATATGAGGAGACAGACAGACATGGAAAAAGACGAGTAAACAGACAAATATGAATTACAGACTGATAGATAGATAAAAACATAAATGTGTAGATATTTGAAGAGACACACAGAAAAAAAGACAGAAAGATGAATTTATATACGGATGCATTAATAGACAAAAGATTTGACAAGGTTATTAATATACAAAAACAAAGATGAAAAGACAGCCAAAGATAGAAAGATAGATGAATAGACAGACAGAGAAAGTCAGATAAAATAACAGAAAGACAGATAGATAGACAAACGGATAAATAGAAACAGACGAAGAGACACATAAATAAGAAAGAAAGACACGTTGACAGAATAACAGATGATAAATAGCAAGACACTATAGACACTATAGACAGGTCTTAAAACAGACAAGGAAAAAATACAGAATCATATAATAGAAATAGTATCCACTAACCAGTCAACCATAAAAGAAATAAAATTTTATTTGGACGTAAACGTAGATGCACTCTTCTTTATTCTTATTGTAAAACCATATAGATCAGATAGATCAACTATAAGAAAAGTGTAAAAAATATATCTTAAAATATATGTGAATAATTATTTATTTTATCTATTTATTAAGGAATTTATCATCAACCCCGTTTTCAACAGTCTAAATCTTAATGAATACTGTGATTTCATTTCTTCTTGATCGAACGCGTATCAAAGTGTTTACGCAAAAATCGATGAGAATATTGCCAATTACCTCTTAAACTAAAGCTATATACATTATACAAGTGCTTTATAGTTCTCAAATGTACATGTCTCGAACTAGAATTAGAAATATTGGATTATCAAATGATCAAAAATCTTTAAGTGATCAAAAAATGTACGCTAAACAGTTAGGACAACTGTTTTTTCAAAAATATCATACAGTTTTACAATAAAGTTAATTTTAAAGTTTAAGGTATTCTTAAACATATTTTTATGATAAAACGTCTGTAAAATGTAAGCTCTCTCTTTCACGAAATCTATTTTTTCTTCTTCTCTTCTCTTCCATTTTCTATTCTTCTCCTTTCTTCTGTTCTTTTTTCCTCTCTTCTCTTTTCTTCTGTTTTTCTTTTCAATTTTCTTATCTTTTCTTTTCTTCTATTCTCGATTCTTCCGTTCTCTAATCTCTTTTCTTCTCTTCCATTATCTCTTATCGTCTCGTTTTTGGTTTACTCTCTTGTTGTTTAATTGGTTTTGAGATAACAATGCAGTACGATCCGTTGTTATGATTTTTCTCTGATTTGTTTACATTTCTAGCTTGTAGACCTAATTGAAACGTACTGCGGTTGTACTCCATAATTGGGCATTGATCATTTGCATTTGATATTTTGATATTTTTACAAAAATACGGTAAGTTATTGAGGTAAAAATCAAAGGCCAATGCAAAAAAAAGTCCACCCAGTCTTAAAAAATTGACGCAACTTTGGTGTCAGTATATCTGTGGTATACAGGGGGGGGGGNTTGAATACATAGATAGTTAATTATGTATATAGTCATATTTGAATACATAGATAGTTAATTATTTATATAGTCATATTTGAATACATAGATAGTTAATTATGTATATAGTCATATTTGAATACATAGATAGTTAATTATTTATATAGTCATATTTGAATACATAGAGTTAATTATGTATATAGTCATATTTGAATACATAAATAGTTAAAATTTAGATAGTTAGATAGTCTGCTACAAGAAAAAAAAAGTAAAAACAAAAACTAAAAAAATGTAAGATTTATTAGAAATGTTACCTTAGAATAATTGACGGAGGCAGCCTGAGATAGTTTGGTGAGACATAGCGCTGTTCTCTTCCTTGTTTTCTTCTCCTTTTCCTCCTTCTCCTCCTTCTCATCCTCATCCTTCTCCAGCAGTGTCCTCATCTCGACCTCGTTGTTGAGGCTGAGGGAGGTTACCAGAGAGCACAGTGGTTCCATGAGATTCTCTGGGTTTACATCCTCAACCTTTCCAGGGGTCTGAATCTCGGCATTGTGCCTTCTCCTTCCATGGATCTTAATTTTCTCTCCAGAGCTAATTCTTTCCAGTTTCTTTTTCTCATTTTCTTTCTGAGTTCTTTCTCTTTTCTCCTGAAGAATGGAAGCACTAAGGGAAGAGAAATACACCGGGTTCTCTCTCTCGTTGTTATCCTGGTATAAGGAGGCACTTAGAGCAGAACAGTGAACTTGAGGAAGATTCCCAGAGATCCTTTCTTCTTCTTCCTCGAAATCCTCTAATTTCACAAGTTGGTATTTTCGGGTAAACATGGCTGACAATTGTTGACTAAGAATTAGGTCTAGTTAGCGTGATGTCTGATGTAAGACTGGTGGCAGCGCATCGTATTCGTAAGTATTCAGGAAGCGGGCTGAGTAGCGGTGTGTACCGGTACGGGGAAAAGAGAGAGAGATTAGGGAGAGTCAGGGGCGAGTTTTGAGTCCCAGAACACCTCCCTTGGTCGGACCGGTCCCTGCGGCCCCAGGACCGAGAAAATCCACCAATGACGCTCTGAGGAAATCAATCTCTTTGTTTGGATTTCTGGCCTATGATTGGTTGCTTGAATCAGGCAGTTAGGCCGGGATTGGGTGGGACTTGTGGGAGATTTAATGACTCATGGCATCAAGTGGCTGTATGCCTACCTAGCATAAACTAATTTCTACATAACACCTTTCTATAAATGACCTCATCGGCTTGAAAGACCATTTAATGCATTTTATTTATATTCAGGATATTTCCTGTCCCTGTAGCTGAGTCACTAGATTGAAATCACTCCTATATTAAGGAGCAGGGAGGCCGGAGGGGGGGGGGGAGGTTGTAGCATTTTTTTGCCAGCCCCACTAATTTACCCAAAAATAATGTTCAAAATATAAAATGTTATTACATGGTCAATTTGTAGTATACAGAATGTATATAGAGACAATTAATTGCCTACACGTTTTTTATGTAGGGCATAGCAAGAGTCAGTTTTGTCTGGTCTGTAGTTAATTAAATACCACCTCTTAAAAATCANGGGCAGTTCAAATTGTACAAATTGTAAAAAGGAAAATGCCAAATTTAAAGAAGAAAAAATCAACATTTTAGCTGTAATAGGAACACAAAGCATGCCTCTTCATTTTACACTGCTTCACTTAGATTGCTTTCGTCATAACTTGGTACTTTGACCCCCCCCCTCTCACCCCCCTCCTTCTTTCTTAACAGCTAATTATGTTTTACCATATTAAGCCTGGAGAAGACTGCATGTTTAATACCTTTGTACATTTGATTTTAACATCGTAAACACTTTAAGAAGAAATCCTATTATTTAGTTCTTAATATTCATCTTACTGAAATCATTTCGAAAGTATGAATATTTTGTTCAAATTTATAGAAATTTTGTCAAAATTACGGAATTTTTTTCAAAATTACAGAAATTTTGTTCAAAATTACAGAAATTTCATCAAGAAATTACAAATACTTTAGTCGAAAAAAACAAAACATGTTGTTCAAAATTACAGAAATGTTGTTCCAAATTACAAGTTTTTACTCGAATAACAAATATTCTTTTTCGAAGATATATGTTAAGAATATAAATACTTATCTCTAACAATCTTTTCATAATTTGAACAATATTTTCGAAATATCAAAATAATTTTAATAGTTTGATATTACGAATATAAATAACTAGACTTGTGTTGCTTTCTTTAACTGCATTTCGTGCATTTTAAGAAAATAAAATCAAAAACTTTTGCAGATTATCCTGATTTCCAAACAGATCGAAAATATTTTGAGGCAAAATTTTTCCTGGCAGATCATAAATATTCCCTCGGGTCATGTGACCACACACATCTGGGGCCTTATTGGTTCAGGCGTTTTGACGTTTTTTTGACGAGCCAAATTCGTAAAATACATTGCGTCGTACGATGTATTTCAGGAAACAGGCAATATTAACTTCGTAATGGCTTCTCTGAAGTCTCATCCTTAGTTGGTAACCCTGTATATACTGATATTTTTTATTGACAACTAATATATATAAAGTGTTCGGGTAAATGTTAATTATATATCTATACACTACAAAACACGCCACAGGCACAATATGGTGGATTCTAATTGATGTTGCAGTCAATTAAGAAAGAGGGAGGGGGGCAGAGATATAAGAAGAAAGGGCAGAGCTGAAAACTCTAGATATCAAGATTAATGCTTAAACTCCTGGTTTTACTAAACCTGAGATTATTTTAATACGCATTCGATATCCAAAACAGAAGTATAAAATTCAACCAATCAGCGTATCATGTTAAGATGTACTAGCTTTAACTTAAAAAAACCGAGTTTTTATTCTGGTGTTAATTGACCTAAACATCGATTAAATAAATGTAAGTTTTGGATTAATGTTTGTTAAGACTAACATTTAAAATTAAAAAAAATCCTAAAATGTGATAAAATATATTTTTTAAGTTCAGATTTATATTTGCTTAAATCGGATATTAGTTCTATCGATATATTATTGTATCCGTAATTGTTATCAAACGTAACTTTTATACAGTAGAAATATCCAACAAGAGGTTTAAGAATAAAATCAAAAGTGTGTACATTGGATACTCAGATTAAAAGATCAGGATTAAGGATATTTCATTCTAAAGTTTTTAGCTCTGATTAGATAAGGTGGGGGGGGGCGGGGGGGGGGGGGTCAAATAAAGACCTCTTTCTACATTGGTTAATCATGTATGTATAAATCTATATTCTGTATCCAATAAACGTCAAAAGGGCTAAATCGATAGGACACGTATTTTTTATGATTGATACTTTAAATTAAAAAAATTCGTAAACAGAAATTTGTTTTATTTTTGTAAAATATTGACATTCCACGAAAAATAATATTAGATCCGCAAATATTATTGTTTTTGTGTTTTATTATATATTATGTATATTTTCTTTTTGTTTTATATACAAAGAGAAAATGCTCACAGATAGAGCCACAATTATACACGTTATTTTAATGATCCGGCAATATTTACCCTTTTCAGTTACACTTGGAAGCTTGAAGCATAACAGAACAGGTTTGTTCAATGACTAATAATGGATTTCAACAGGTTCGGTAATATTAGAACAAATAGTTAGCATTTCCAGAAATCTTCATTTTCTATTAATAGTTACTTAACACTGCAATACAAAGATACAAAAATACAGGGATACATGGATACAGGGATACAGGGATACAGGGGTACAGAGATACAGGGATACAGGAATACAGGAATACAGGGATACAGGGATACAGGGATACAGGGATACAGGGATACAGGGATACAGGGATACAGGGATACATGGATACATGGATACATGGATACAAGGATACAGGGATACAGGGATACAGGGATACAGGGATACAGGGATACAGGGATACAGGGATACAGGGATACAGGAATACAAGGAAACAGGGATAAAGGGATACAGTGACACATGGTTACAGGGATAAAGGGATACAGGGAAACATGGATACAGGGATAAAGGAATACAAGTAAACAGGGATACAGGAATACTGGGATACAGGGAAACAGGGAAACATGGATACAGGGATACAGGAATACAAGGAAACAGGGATACTGTATTACAAGGATAAAGGGATACAGGGAAACATGGATACAGGGTTACAGGAATACAAGGAAACAGGGATACAGGGATACAGAAATAAAAGGAAACAGGGATACATGGATACAGGGATACAGGGATACATGGATACAGGGATACAGGAATACAAGGAAACAGGGATACATGGATACATGGATACATGGATACAAGGATACAGGGATACAGGGATACAGGGATACAGGGATACAGGGATACAGGGATACAGGGATACAGGGATACAGGGTTACAGGGATACAGGGATCAGGGATACAGGGATACATGAATACAGGGATACAGGGATACAGGAATACAGGGATACAGGGATACAGGAATACAGGGATACAGGGATGCAGGGATACAGGGATCAGTGATACAGGGATACATAGATACAGGGATACAGGAATACAGGGATACAGGAATGCAGGGATACAGGGATACAGAGATACAGGAATACATGGATACAGGGATACAGGAATACATGGATACAGGAATACAGGGATACAGGGATATAGGAAAACAGGAATACAGGAATACAAGGATACAGGGATACAGGGATACAGGGATAAAGGGATACAGGGATACAGGAATACAAGGATACAGGGATACAGGGGTACAGGGATACAGGGATACAGGAATAAAGGGATACAGGGATACAGGGTTACAGGGATACAGGGATCAGGGATACAGGGATACATGAATACAGGGATACAGGGATACAGGGATACAGGGATACAGGATTACAGGGATACAGGGATGCAGGGATACAGGGATCAGTGATACAGGGATACATGGATACATGGATACAGGGATACAGTAATACAGGGATACAGGAATGCAGGGATACAGGTATACAGGAATACAAGTATACAAGGATACAGAGATACAGGGATACATGGATACATAGATACAGGAATACAGGGATACAGGGATATAGGAAAACAGGGATACAGGAATACAAGGATACAGGATACAGGGATACAGGGATGTTGGGACACAGGGATACAGGAATACAGGGATACAGGGATGCAGGGGTACAGGGATACAGGGATACAGGAATATAGGGATACAGGGATACAGGGATAAAGGAATACAGGGTTACAGGGATACAGGGTTACAGGGATAGAGGGATACTGGGATACAGGGATAGAGGGATATAGGGATACAGGAATACTGGGATACAGGATTACAGGGATACAAGGATACAGGGATACAGGGATACAGGGATACAGGGATACAGGGATACAGGGATACTGGAATTCTGGAATACAGGGTTACAGGGATACAGGGTTACAGGGATACAGGGATACATGGATACAGGGATACAGGGATACAGGGATACAGGGATACAGGGATACAAGGATACAGGGATACAGGGTTACAGGGATACAGGGATACAAGGATACAATTAAAGAATGAGAAAAAATACAGAGCTATATCAAAATCGTAACCGGTTGCTGTTATCTTCTTTGGTAGCATCTTGAACAGTTTTAGATCAAGGTTGAACTAAGTTTACGATCTATCAAATTTTTATTAATTTTATTTGAGGCACTAACTCCAGATCCTGCTATGAAACCTATGATTAAGGATGAATCCCTGGGAGTTTGATCAAATGTTTATTGCTTCTTTACATGTTTTACAACCAATTCAAAGCAGTAGTGAAAACGAAATCAGGATATAAACATTTTATTGCTGATTTTACTTCAAACATCATCCAAAATTTGCGATATTTGCTCAGTTTATTGCGGATTTTTTTGCACCCGAAGGGGGGTGGCTGGGTCGTTAATATATGTTTATGTGATACATCAACCCCTGTTTGGTTTATAGTTTCCCTATAACAATCATTATTATATGTAGGTTCTCTACACTGAACAGTGTACAGCTTTACAGTGCACACTGTTCAGTATACAGCTTTACAGTGTACACTGTTCAGTGTACAGGTTTACAGTGTACACTGTTCAGTGTACAGCTTTACAGTGTACACTGTTCAGTGTACAGCTTTACAGTGTACACTGTTCAGTGAACAGCTTTACAGTGTACACTGTTCAGTGAACAGCTTTACAGTATACAGTGTACGAACAGCTTTACAGTGTACAGTGTACGAACAGCTTTACAGTGTACAGTGTACGAACAGCTTTACAGTGTACAGTGTACGAACAGTATACAGCTTTACTGTGTACAGTGTACAACAAGAAGGTTTACAGTGTACAGTATACGAACAGTATACATTTTTACAGTGTACAGTGTACAACAAAAAGGTTTACAGTGTGCTATCAAATGATCCTCCCAAATTCCAGATTATCAAGTCCAATTCACAACGGTACCCTTTAAATATCTTTCTCAGCAACAATTAGGAAGCTTTTCATGTTTTTCTGTCTCTAAGAACATATTAAATTTCCTTGATTCTCTGTGCAGCATGATTCCTCAGTCTCTTTTACAATAAAACCACAAGTGAAAATAATCAATTTGCTAAGAGAAAAAAGAAGGGTTTTTTAGTTATCAATGGTTTAATGTGTAACATAAAAGGCACCCTATCTACTTATAAATTCAAATTTATTTCAAATACATTGTTTATAGTGAATTGCACTGCAATTGTACTGCATAGATCAAATGTTTACAATGTAAAATGTCAATCAACCTATGTACTTATGTAATCAAATGTGTACAGGAAGTTGTCCTGGGCGGGGGTGTAAACTTTTGTTTCACACATTCCAGTAAGGGGGGGGGGGGTTAAGGGCTTAAAAAGGGCTTTAAAATCGTAATTTTTACTTTTCTATAAAAAAAATGTAATTTGTTTCGAACATCTATATTTTTCCTTGCTTTAACTCACATAAGGAGAGATCATTTATCGTACCGTCCCGTCTTGCCTTATAATAGTCTGTGTGTGTACTGTACAGAGCTTCTTTAAAGCCAGCCCAGTACTCAAAATGAACCGTAGTTTACAGTGATCAACCCAAGTCATAATTTAAATCTTCCTTAAAATTTCATATTTATATTTGTAATACATAAATGTTTTATTTAGTATAAAACCAAGGTACAAAATTATGCATCAATTATCTAAACCAGTGTCGTAACTTCTAACCCCTTGGCTTTTAATAGTTTTACATTATCAACACTCGCTTACTCTTTTGTAACCCTAAATGTGTAGATACGTTTTGAAATAAAATTTGTTTAGCATTTTATTCATATAAAGATCATCCAATAATTGACTAGCAATGTGGATCTATTGGCTCGCTGGGTATTCCAGTTAACCCAAAGGAGTTACCTACTCCTTTGGAACCTGGTAACTCATTCCCATTCATAGTTAGTACTCCAGGAGATTCCAACTTAATGCTAGACAAATCATCTCCGTAGACTAAAGTAACTTCTTCCCCTGCCAATACTGCATTATGTTGTTCCTCTGAGATTGGGAATCCGTTTATTGTGACAGGTCCAGATTCTTTGCGTTCTATTTTAAATGTATCCTGTTCAGTTATGAATGTCCCATAACTGCAAGGTTCTACAGATGTTACCCAATTTGGAGCCAGGAGGTTTTCAGGAGGGGTTTGATGTTTTCCTGTAATAAAATGGAATGACAAATCATGCATTTATTCCCAAAAATATGCGGCTATACCTAGCGATGGGCAAGATTCGTTTTACAGAAACACTTCATTTTAGACTTTTAAAAGATTTTACGACAATCTGATAAACTATCGTTTTAAAAACCCAAAAAGTCAAAAAAACATTAGATCTGGCTATTGCCCATCCCTCTTGTTTCTATATAGGAAATCCTACTTGTTGCAAAAACAATTGTTCCCCGTTAATGACTCCCATATCTATAAAATGTAAAAAAAAATACAATTTAAATATTACATTAGTATTTTTTATTTTTAGTAATACATATGGGAATAATTGTTTGTGATCCGAAATAACAGGTTTGTGATTTGTTATTAAAAGCACTATTTGATATCTGAAAAGATCTTGTTTTTATGATGTTAATTGAAATTTGAAAAATAATTAATTCTTATGGTTCATGTGAGAATTGAAGAATAATAAATAATCATTTTTACCAAGGGCATTTAGTATGGCAATTTTTAGGCATTTAAAAGTCATAATTTTATATTACCTTGACAGGGAAGTGTGGACTTACATACTCCTAGCACTAAAAAAGATACAATTAAGACAAAAAAATATATAATATATATTTTATCCACTTTTTCAGCCCAAAATTTTGTACATTTTCACCTGTAAAGTCTTTTCCAAGTTTTGGAGGCGGAGCAATGAATTCTAAACATAAAACAAATTATTTATCTTTTTCAAACATATTATTAACCCTACCCCCACACCTCTAAATCCCATGTTTAATTTCCAAATATGACAAATGATACATTATTGGATAGCTCTTATTCTTAACTTTTAGAATCTGCAAAAAGATTTGCGAATTTCATTCTGGAGAGGTGCTGGAGAGGCAGGAGCCAACAGAGCCGGAGCTGACGGAGCCGGAGCTGACAGAGCCGGAGCTGACGGAGCCGGAGCTAACAGAGCCGGAGATGACAGAGGTTTTCCACATTGGGGAGGCTGCTGAGGAGCAACTGGGTGATAAGAGAGTACAGGTTTAAGCCGATCCAATGAGACAGAGTCAGACTTGGAACCAATTTCAACTAGGAAATACTTTGGATACTTGGAGAGAACTAGATATGGTCCTCTATATAACTGAGACAACGGAGGTTTTGATGCATCCTCTCTGATAAAAACATGAGAACAAGAAACTAAACTTGAAGGGATCTGATCTGGTTTTGTGGCTGAAACTGCAGAGTGGTGAGGCAGGACTGATGCACTGTTCTTCAGGATAGACTGGATTCTCCTGAGATACTCTGACGAGGGCAGCTCTGGAGTGTTTAGAAACTCTCCGGGTAACACCAACGGAGAACCAAAAAAGAGCTTCAGAGGCGGAGACAGATGAATCTTCTCTGGGAACTCTCTGGAGTCCAAGTAATACCAGGGGCAGATGATGGAACCAATCCATCCCAGCTAGACGAGCACGTAGAGAAACTTTGAGCTGATGATGAAACCGTTCCACGATACCATTTGATTGAGGATGGAACGAAGTTGTAGGTGAGTGAACTATACCAAGGAATCTTCACAAAGCTGACCACACAGACCTAGTGAACTGAGCTCCACAATCTGAGGTAATTACAGAGGGTACTCCGAATAGAGGAATCCATGAATGTAGGATGACTCTTGCACACTCCTCCACAGTTGTAGCTTTGAGAGGAACTGCCTCCGGCCATCTTGTTGACCTATCAATGATGGTGAACAGGTAAGAAAAACCATCGGACTGAGGGAGAGGACCAACCAGATCAACATGTATATGTAAAAACCTCCGACCAGGAACTGGGATATGTTGAACAGGAGACTTCACATGACTTTGTATCTTACTCCTCTGACAATCTAGGCAAGATTGGGCCCAGAGGTTTACATCCTTAGACAAGAATTCCCAAACAAAACTCCTAGAAACCAGTCTTTGTGAGGCACGTTTTCCAGGATGAGAAATCTTGTGGGTTGCATTAAAAACATTTTATCTCATAGCCTCAGGAACCAATGGACGGTGGATTCCTGTAGAAATGTTGCAGAGCAATTCCTGAGAGTTGGAAACAGGAATGGAGACAATCTTCAAGGCTCAGGACTGGCAGAGCTGTTGGATCTTCCTGCATGATTGTTGGAGCCAAGACATTTGTATATATGATACACCAGGAACTATTGAAGAGGGAGCAGGAGCCAGAGGAACAGAGTTCATCACAGGATCCGTCACTGCCAACACCGCCGACACTGCTGACACCTCAGGGACTCTATCATCAGCAGGATAAACTTCAGGAGAAAAACTTGATGGAGCAGGCTGAGGAGAAAAACTGGAAGGTTTTGTCACAGGTTTTGGAGCGGAGCTAGTTTTAACTGGACTCGGAGAAATCAAGGACGGATTTGACTCAAGGATCGGAGCGGAGCTAGGAGAAACAGGACGGGACAGGGCGTCTGTAACTATGTTCTCAGTTCCTGGGAGATGGTGGATATCACAGTTGAACTCAGATAGGAATGATAGACGGTGCTGCTGCATGGCGGACCAGGGCGGAGAAGTCCTGAACAAGGCATGAGTTAGAGGTTTGTGATTAGTAAATAAAACAAACTCTTTACCTTCTAGAAGGAACCAGAAATGGCAGAGGGCTGAATAAGCAGCAAACAATTTCTGTCAAAGGCGGAATATCTCGTCTTGGCGGAAGAAATAGAATAGAAAGCAAGAGGAGCCCAGAACCCAGCAACTTCTTGTTGAAGAACTGCTCCAACCTGAGAACCAGATGAATCCACGGCGAGTGAAACCTTGGTGGACGGATCTGGATGCACTAGGGTTGGTACACTTGAGAGCAGCGAGAACCCCTGCAGCACCCTTGATGAACCTTCTGTAGAAATTCAGAATACCCAGGAACCGTTGAAGTCCTTTCTTGTCTACAGGGCGAGTGAATGTTGAAATAACTTCAGTATGCTTCTGGAGAGGAAAACATCCCTTGCTTGAAACCCTCATTCCAAGTTATTCAACTTCAGGTTTGGCGAACTCGCACTTGGTAGGGTTTATGCTCAGACCATGGAGGAGGAGAAGGTCAAAAACCTGGCAGACATGGTGGAGGTGTGATGTGGCATCAGGACTGGCAATGAGAAGGTCGTCGACATACACGAAACAGTGTAGAATGTCACCTAGAATCTGGTCCATCATCCTTTGGAATGTGCATCCTGCATTCCTGAGACCAAACGGCATCCTGATCCATTCAAAAAGGCCAAAAGGAGTTATAGCCGCTGTCTTAGGAATGTCACCTTTGGCCATTGGAACCTGATAATATCCTATGGTCAGATCTAACTTGGTAAAAACTGTACAGCTGTTGAGCCTAGAAGTAAAATCAGCTATGTTGGGAAGAGGATATCGATCTGGAATTGTATGAGTATTCAATTGGCGATAATCGCCACAAGGACGCCAGGAACCGTCAGGTATCTGTACCATATGAAGAGGGCTGGCCCAAGGAGAGTTTGAACGGCGGTTTACACCAGTAACATCCATTGCAGCAAATTCTGTCCTGGCATCTAACCTTCTAGCCTTGGCAAAAACCTGCGGACCAGGAACTGTTTGAACAGAGTGACGAACTTGATGCTTTGGAACAGAGGCACTAAAGTCCTTAGAGGATATAACATCAGGGTACTCAGCTAACAAATCCCTGATCTCCTCAGAGGTAGACAATAATGCGGCATACAATTCTGAATTCTGAATGGTTTAGTTGAGGGAACAGCGGGAATTGGTTCAAGGGTTGCAGCATCTAGGAGACGGGCACCGGCAATGTCAACCAAGAGGTGGTGATGGCAGAGAAAATCTGATCCTAGGATAGGCATAGAAACATCTGCTAGGAGAAAAGTCCAATCAAAAAGACGAGGCCCGAATTTTAGAGCTATCTGATGAGAACCATAGATATCCATAGCAGTACCATCGGCGGTTCTTAACTGAACCCCCACACTAGGAGGTCGAGGTTGCTGAGGAAGATGTGGATAGACTGAAACAGAGGCTCCAGTGTCAACCAGAAACTTGCAAGAGGATAGAACATTCTGCAAAAATGTAAGGTTTGAGGAAGGATAATCGGCGGATATTGCATTCAAATAATCTCCGCTGCTGACTAGTTTCCTGAACAGGAACAGGGAGCTCAACACTGACTAGCTGCATCTCCCCGCCGGCAGTGGTACCAGCAAACTCCAGAGGAACTGGTTCTCCAATCTTCTTCTGGAACTGAAGAACGACTGGGAGACCTAGGAACAGAACGGCAAGTCCCAGATCTAGTGGACGAATTCCTCCGCGGCAAGGCATACACGTCCTCAAACTGCTCAGAGAGAACTTGCACAGGAAAACTGCGTCCACGGATCGTCCATAACTCGTCAGCGAGCAGAGCCATCCTCTGTGGGTCACTGATGGACTCAGAGAGCAAATGTGCCCGAATATCAGCTGGAAGACGGTCCATAAATAGTCCCCTGAAGAAAAAACCAGGCTTCTCGTCCTCAGGGAGCAAAACTAACTTTTTATCCATTAGCTCAGAGGGACGTTGGTCAGATAACAAGGGTAAACTTTGTAATGACTGATACCTCTGGAAATCACTCAACGTGTACATCTGGATGAGACGACTTCTCAGGGCTTTGTAAGGAGCGGCAGGGGGAGCTCGATCCAGGTCTAAAAGTCGACAGGCAACATCCAGGGGCAACGCATTGAGGCAGTGATAAAACTTGGTTTGTGAGGTTATAATCCTCTTAACCTCGAACTGTGCTTCGGCCTGGATGAACCATACTTCTGGAGAATCGGTGCAAAAGGTCAGAAGTTTTACGGAAACCGATATCAAAGGAACTGCAGACTGGGATAGATCACTTCCTTCTTCCTCCGGCATCTTGACAGTCGCTACTTAACGAATCGCTGAACTTTTCTCGAAATCTTGCTGGAAACCCTACTTTGGTATTTGGGTTTGAAAAACGCAGTGACCTGGTTGAAACCAATTTCAGGTACGTCGGCGAGAGAGATTATTTAAAAGTCCACAGCGACAATATCACGTCGGGGTCACCAAAATGTAGCGACGCAAAATAACAAAGATATAAACGGACTGAACATATATTTTTTATAAGTTACAACATGGTATCTAAAAAACTGAGTAAATATATTTGGTTTGGTTTACAGAGCTTCCGGGAAGAAGACGATATTCCAGGGTCTCCACAATATTTAAGTAATTTAGATGTTTCTATATAGCGCAGTAAGTATAAAGAAAACACGAAGATTTTATGACTGAACTCAGAGGAATGAACAGAAAAAACTTTTTTTTTTTTTAATTTGTAAACTGTAATTCAGTATCTTTTTTAAAAAGTGAATATTAGCGAATTATCTTTTTTCCATCTCATAATCTGAGTTTGTTTCCCTTATGTCCATTTGACAGCCCAAATTTTTATTTTGTATAATATTTTTTGTTTGTTTATTTTCTTGTGATTTTTAACAAAATTTTAAAAAATTTTTTAAAAAGATTTTGATGGTTATTATATCGTTAGAACTGACGAGGGTCAACCCAGACAGAAATATATTTTCAATAAATGTGGAACTAACATCTACTTTTTTACTCTACAGAGGTTTGGTCCATCACCATCACCGAATTTTAAATCTGATTTCATTGTTTATAAATATTAAATACTCATTTCATTTGCGCTCAAAATTCCTTTGAATTGAATTTACTTATTTCTATTTTTTTTTTCATCTAACCTGATGTATAGTCTTTTCCAGATCTTATGTGTGCTGGCCCTAAGTATTTAAAAGAATAAAATATACTTGATTAAGTTTCAGACGTTACCCATGGAAAAATTAGAAATTTTGAAAGAAAAAAATTTTTAATTAGAAAAATTAGATTTTTGAAAAAAAAATTCTTGAATTTTTATGGAAAAAAATCATAATTTTAGCCTATGTCACCCCTGGGCTACCCATGAGATTACTAAAAATCAACTCTCATTACATTCAGCCATGTAGTCGGCTATAGGGAACATATATATATACAAATGTCTTGTTTTAGTATATAGATTTACAAATTCAGGCATAAATGCTCAGATTTCTAATCCTTAGATCTTTGCAACCTAATTTTGTAGACCTTTGATATTTTAATTTAAGAATTCTGTTAGATCATCAAATCTTAGTTTGATATATCAAATGTTTACACCATAAGATTGCACAGATATAGTGATTAGAAAATTTGAATGTGTGACAACGACTCAATTCCTATATCAAGAGATGCTAATTACTTGTTAAAAATGCTAGAATCAATCATTTTCAAGCTTGACATCTTTATTAATTAATTTACAAATGGTGCAATCAAGGTTTACAAAAGACAATTATCAAAGTAAGCCAGTCTTCATAAGTTTGCTAAACGAATTGAGTAGACTGCTTTAGATTGAAAAATTGAAAATGTTTTTGATTGATGGATCTTTTACATTATCAAACCCCCCCCCCCCTCCCTATAGATTTAAGACATTCAATGAAGAGACATATTTATTTTGGTTTAAGAAAAACAATAATAAAATAGTTTAAAGCTTTGGACAACATTATTTTTTAATATTAATATGTTTTACCTGCAGTTTTAATGAGGTAGAATTTTGGTTGAACTTCCTGCTTTTATCAGAATTGATTTCAAAATCTGATAAGCATTTTAGCAATTTAAATCTTATCTTTGATCAGGGGGGCTGGATCTTAGCTACCTCGCTGTAAGTATTAGCCTGAGTGTACACTTGGGATAGTTTACTGTTAAAGGATATTACGAGATTATGGTCTAATCATACAGTGCAAACATCACATATGCAGTACGCTTTCGGAGTATAAGTGAATGGTGAGGTTTATTTATCTTGAATTTTACTCAGTTTTCTTAGAACAGTTTATTAATTTTGAAATAATGCTCTGTAAAAGACTGTAAATGTACGTCTTCCTGTGAAAATGGATAAAGGAGTATTGGATTTTAATACTTACATGGAAAACAATATATCCATTTAAATCTTTTCAGATATCAGCCCCGAGTACTGTAATATACAGTGAAGTAAAGCACATGGCCTATACAATTAGTTAAGGATAAGCATACATCATCCCTCCATACATATACTATAACCTCATTGAATTTGACAAATTAATAATCTGTTCCTGCAGACTGAAGAAGAAGCAGATAACAGGGATAACTTGATTCAACATTATGCTCTCAGTTTCAATAATCTACTGATGGTTTAAAAGTTTCTAATTATTAGTTTAAATTTTTATTGTTTGTGTTTTTGCAATTAGGAAAGTTTGTTAAACAATTAATCACTTGTTTATGCATTAAAAACAAACACAATAATGTTTATTTTTCATTTGATTTATTGTTCAGACTAATGCAGAAAACTGGAAGCAAAACACAGTTTAATCCCAATAAGGCAGGTTATCACTATTTGTAATCCCCTTTTGAACAATTAGTTGTAACATACAGTTTTGTTTTTAAAGTTTTGTCGCTTGGTATACATTATTTAATCCAACATTGAATTCAAAGTTTGAAATATACAAGGTCTTTAAAAAAAACTTTCAATGAAACTTATTTATTATTTACAAGATTTTTTTTTCACCAGCTGTTTCAATAAGATAGAATTTAGGTTGAACTTCCTATATTTTTTAAAATTAATATCTAAAAAAATAAAGTTTGCAGTCTCAAACTTTTGTATTAACTGATGTTTACAATTTAAAGAAAATATTAATTTCTGTTCCTGCAGACTGAAGAAGAAACATTTAACAGGATGAACTTGATTCAACATTATACAGTAAGTATAAGTAATATACTGATGAAATAACAGTTTTTAATTATTAGTTTATAATTTCCTGATTATTACCAAGTTTATGCATTAACAGTTAAACTTCACTAGACAAAAATTCACATGGGTTATAAAAGTTGAGAGGCTCTTGCCCTTGTGAAGCCAAAAATGGCCTCCCAGTGTAAATAGGTTAAACAAAAGATGGGGGGGGGGGGTCTGAGAATACACACCATCAAAAGGTTGAGTTCATGAATGAATGATGTTTTATTATGTCAATAAAAAGTAATACATTATTTAAATATTTTGCTGAACCTAAAAAAGGTTTTTAAAAAGTTAACAGCAACAAGTCCAGAGTTTGAATTTTTAAGCAAATTAAACGCTTTATTCTTCAACATGTAGTTTACTATCATTCTTTGACTTTCTAGCCCTTTATGAGGACTCTCTCCACTTCTCTTTATCAATGTTTAATAACAATATGTTATATGAAACCCATAAACACAACTTAGCAGAATAGGACCTTTTAATACTATTAAACTTTCCAAATAATAATGGATACAATGAGGAATAAGGTAATATATAAGACTTAGAATTTTCTTCCACAGGTGTTTTATTTCTCAAAAAAGGTACTTACCCCCCAGCATATCCTGGTTTTCAAGTACCCCAGCAGAGATAGGGTTAAGACCTTTATTTTGTACATGTAAAAGATGCGTTGACCACTGTACTTACTTCTTAGTCTGTTACAGTGAAGGAAAATTGACCCCTTTTCTTAGTTTAGCTGCAGGCAGGGCTACTGCTGTGCTTCTTTAATTGATGCTTTATATCGTACATCCCAGTTTTAATGCAAATTTTCATGTATCTCTCAGAAAGATTATCTTAATGGAAGTGTATTGCACAAAAACAAATCAAATATAAGGCTAGCTGATATACCGGTAGTTATTCAGTATTTATTTAGCATATATTTTAAGAAATCAAAATATTTAGAAAACTAATATATGCTTTCTTTATTCCTTTCACATAAAAAAATTTAATTTTAGAAAATGATACAAGAATTTTCAAATGAAATCAAATTGTGCACAAGGTTAGTTTTTAATGCAACCAAAGTATGTCATAGGTCCCCGAAAAAATGAGGCTATATACATCCCAGATAATGGTTTTCCATCAAACATTACTGTGTTTTGCTTCATTGTAAGAGTAGCTACTTTGTTGTTGGCAATAAGTTTAACTATTTCGCCGCTTAGTGCTCTTCGATGATCTGCATCTGTGACGGGAAATCCATTGATTGTAACAGGTCCAGTGTCTTCCTTGTTGACAAGGAACTTATTGTTGTTAACAACAAATGTTGTTTCACTGCAAGGCTCTACAGATTTTACCCAGTTTGGTTCATAGATTTTTGTTGGAACCCAGGCTTTTCCACCTGAAAAAAAAATATAATATTACAAATTTGTTTGGGACTAAGGTTTTTTCAGGCTGCATAATTAATTGGGTGAAAATTTATTTTTAATGCTAAAGATTAGGAATAGAGAGTCAAAATTGCTGAACCTAAAACAGTGCTTAGAAAACAGCTGAAATTTTTTAATTTAATTTAAGAATGACTTTTAAAATCAAAACCAAAATGCCCAATTCTTTAGATGTTAGTATTCTGATTTTGTTTATTTTTACCTTTAGGGTTAGAGTTACATGCATTGCAGTCATTGTTCTGAAACGGAATCATGTTCATTCCATTAATGTTCATGGTGCCACTAGGTACTGTAAATTGAAAATGTATTAAACATTTCTAAGCTATCATGTTGAGTTACTTTAATTGTTTGATAACAATCAATTTCTAGTATCAAGATTTGAAAAAATTTTAAAATTAAATATTAAAACTTCCTAACAAATGTTTTAAAAAAAAATATTCTTACATTTTGGAAATGATAGTCCATAATCTCCTGCCTCTTTTGATGTTGGTTCTGAGTAATATTTTTTTTAACCAAACGTTTTTTATTCTTTTAAATTATGAAACTTGTTTATATATATATATTTACCTTCTGTATCAGCTGTCTTTATAAGATAAAATTTAGAAGTAACCTCCTGCATTGAATTATGATTTTAAATGGTTAAACTTTAGTGACCTATTAGTGAAAGATGTTTGAATTTATGAATTAAATATTCTCTTTTTATACACTACTCAAAATTAACTAATAATTTCAATTATTTTTGCATAAATTCAAACTTTGCTGAACACAATATTTTTTTAATTCTTGCAATTTTTAGACTAATCGTTTGCCTAATTTTTATTAGAAAATCTTTAAAATTGCATGGATATTTGCTTTTTTTGAGTTAAAAAGACTGACTGAAGACAAAACTGAATATTTAAGCATCCATACAATTGTCTATATAGTAGTGATTGAAAAGAACCTCAATTTATAAACTATATTTTTTAAATTTAGCTTAAATTTAAAAAAATGTTCTAAATTTGAGGAATTTCCCAAATATCCAATTAATAAATTTCCAAAACCTAAAAAATTCAGAAATTTTGGGAATTACACAAATGCCTGGGTATCTGGGAAATTTCCAAAATATTAATTTTAATTTTGCAAAATCCAGTTATATAATAAAAATGTTTGCAAAAAATAATAAATATACATTTTTGAAAAGCCAATAACCATGCTATTTCAAATATGCAAAAATGTTTGCAAAATTTTAAATAACCTGTGTGTAATTAAGAAAAACTAAAAATGTGCAAATTTCCTTTGACAGGTTGTTTGAAAATAGTTTGCAAAAATTTCTTTCCAAAACTTGTGCAATCTGTTTCCTTATGTCATAGACTTTCCATAAAGCTAAATGTTATCAAAATCTGACAACTAAAAGTGGGTCTAAACAAAGATTTAGTATATTACAGGAAATTTAGGCAGTGTACCTAAGGACTTAGGCAATTAGTATAAAAGCCTGGTTTTAGGCTTAAAGGGAGGGCTTTTGGTATTTAGGTAAAGTCAGAAAAATACAACAGCTTTAGACTAATACTTTTTGAGTTCTGTAAAAAAAAACTACAAGGGGGGTCAAACTGACTTTCCCCTCTCTCCCCCATTTTAATAAGATTTGAATGGTGTGATCATTTNCCCCCCAGCAGGATATCCCCTGTCTCCCCCATTTTAATAAGATTTGAATGGTGTGATCATTTTCATGATATCTATAATATAATAAAATATTGTGTAAGCTGCAGGCTGAAAAATCTGAGAAAGTTTTTTTGAAAAAGTGCAATTTCCCTTGTTATATTTATCATGCTAGTCAATATTTAATCTAAATAGAAAATAATATACCATAAAAAACTTCATCTTCATGTAAGTGTAGATTATATTAAAATCATTTCCTGAGCAGTAAAAAAGAAATATAAACCAAACAAGATGTAATCCATCATTGTACTGACTACAAAATAATAATAATTGTTAGTTGTTTCCTCAATTGAGTTTACTAATTAATTAATTAGCAAACTTGTTTTGTTTATTTACTGAAAAAATAAAAATAAAAAATACATTTCACTAACAAGGCAATTCAGAAATTATTTAAGAAAATTAAAGAACTTGTGTTGTTATCATTGACATTAAGGAGTAAAAAATGATTACAGATATGTATACAAAAAATCTAGCAACAGAATGAAAAAAAACTAAATTAATATCACAAGTTACCTAACAAAGGTTACAAATCTTTATTGTAGCAATTGAGGAGAAAAATTTTAATTATCAATGATGTAGTTGGGCAATTATCCATTTTGTGAATATCCATAATCATCTTTGTAAGTTAATGGTATTCCGTCCAATGTCAGATCTCCATTAGTTAAGGTAAATTCAGCCTTTTCTCCCTCTTCTGTTGATAAAACAACCACCTCTCCTTTCATTGCTTTTGCAAAAGCTTCTTCAGAAATAGGAAAACTATTGATCTCTACCGCTGATCCAGATTCATCTTTATTAATATGGAAATCATTATCATCCAGGGTTACAGTCCCATGGGTGCAAGGTTTAACTTTAGTTATCCAGTCAGGAGTTTCAAATTTCAGCTTACTCATGTCTAAACAATATATAACCCTGTAGATGAATACTTTTTAAAACTTTAGAAACAAAAATAGAGTTTTATGTAGTCAATTATTAGTTATTTTTCTAAACAATAAACTCTCAAGATTGCAATTTCCTTTTTAATTGTTTCTTCATTAAGCTTTTTGATGTAAATTACAAATGTTTTACCTGCAATACATGACACCACTCTATTGCCATCTAGAGAATAAATCACAATTTTTCAAAAACAAGCAGTTAATAGGTAACAGGTTTAAAAAAAAAAATTAAAAACTCTTAAAATATGTTTGATCAACAACTATGAGCAAGCAAAATAAAATAGCAACACCCTGAAAGTTTGCAACATATAGAACGTTAAATTTAAACTTTTTTAAAGAAATAAATATTTAAATTGGAACAATTGAAAAATATTTTTTATAAATCTGAACATACCCTTGTCATATCCTATGGCGTAATCATCACCAACTGTTGGGCTTAAATATCCATCTAAAATGAGATGAAATTATTTACAAGGGTTAATGATTGGTGTTACATAATTTTTCAGAAACTCTGTATTAGAAATGATCGAGATCCATCAATTTATGACTTTTAGAAATCTGCCTCCCAGTAAAATTAATGCCTTCATATGCACTGAATTATATTTCAAGTCTTTTAAAAATTGAAAATTAGATGAGGAAAAATTGTTTACCTGAAGGTTTCTCTGGTATCAATGTGCTTTTAGTATCAATAAGATATGATTTACTATAAAGTTCCTTAGATAAAATGGTATAATGATATAAGTATACAATCACATAAAAATGCAACACATTATATAAATGCACAAAATAGGTAAAACAGAACCAACACTGAGGCAGACCATCCTGCATGTCAGCCTCAAAAGTGATTTACAAATCATACAACTGCAAATAGGTGTATATTTCAAAGTAATCAATTAATCAACCTATAGACTTAGAGGTCATTGTATACATTGACATTATTGTCTGTTCAAAAACTCTCCACAGTGGGTCCAGTGGTTCTTAGTAAGCGTGGAAAACAAATATTCTTTCTTTGTGTATTTTTACATTAACATTGCATAAACTTCCAAACAATATGCACCGGCTTGACAGAGGCATGTATGCTTTAGTAAAGGTTCTATGCTAAATGTTCTGTACCTACAGAAATCCAAGACATTTATTAATTTAAAGGGAGTGTTCGCGAAAAATGAAAGGGGGTTTAGGCTTAATGCAACAAAAAAGCATTTTTGAGGCTTATGGCGAAAGATAATCGATGACTATAGGTTGTAATATCTGAATGATTTGTTTGAAATTAAATTGTTTTTTTTTTACGGTCTAAGTCGTATGTTGCATCTTTCTGAATTTGTATGGACACTTCGTTATTCGGTATTTGTCGTTTTTTAACAATTTGTTCCTTATAGACGCAACAGATAGAAGTAAGATTAGAAGTGATCAAAAGCGCTTTTTTAAGACACTCCCTTTAAGACAAATTTGAAAAAGCTAAAAACAAGCTTATTTTTTAAAAGTACATCATAGTAAAGTATTTTTACAATATATTAAGTAACAGAGTTGGGCTAGGGCACTTTGTGCCCATCTTCTATTTTAACTTTTAATTGTGACTTTTTCTGTGAATATCTTCTATAGTCCAGTATATAAAAAAAAACATTTGGGGATTTTATAATATGTTTCACACATTTTGAAAATTTTACAAAATAAAATACTTTTAAACACAAATTTTTGAAATTTTGATCATTTATAAACCTTCCCTGGGTCATTGAAGCATGTTGATTGGATATAAACTAACACATAGACAAGCAAAGTATATATATAAATATATATATATATAGAGATGATACATTGTTCAATATTAAATATGGTAAACAATTCATATAAACCTTGAAAAGTAGAAAGAAACTAGTAAAAAATAGAATAAGCATTAACACTGAATAACTAGGAAACTATTGATTTAGAAGTAATATTTTATTACCTTTGAATTATAACTAATACTAATTGCGTTTCTTAAAATCCAAGTTAATAATCACCAGGAGTCATATATCATTATCAGTTACTTAGTAATTGAAAGTAAAGACAAGGAAAACATTTTAAAAGAGAGAGTATTTTTCATTTTCCATAATATTAAATGTTATGTCCATTTTAGATTTTTCACTATTTATAGTTTAAATTTTTTTGTTTGCACAAGTTAAGTAAACTCAGCTCAATAGATATTGTGTTTGGTGGTTTTAGTTCAAAATATACAATATACATCAACACAACCAAACCAAGTAGGTCTTAACATTTAAAATGATCTCATAAGATCCGGGAATTTTTTGTTTAAAAAAATTACAGGACTTACAAGAAGATTACTAACAAATGTTTCAGCAAAAAATGTTTCAGAACAAAATGTTTCAGAACAAAATGTTTTAGCACAAAATGTTTCTGGTCCGACAAACATTTACGTAACCACAAAATGCAATAATATTGTGCAAGATGTTTTCATTATTTGACAAACAAAGTTAATTTGTTTTCTTTATCATCAAATGAGTTTTGGAAATAATAATATTCAAAGTGAAACTTTATGAATTTCGGACAAATTAGCTTGTTTAAACTAGTTAATTGCTTTTTAATTTGCTAATGTTGCTTTGATGTCTAATTATAATTAATAATGAATCTTAAAACAAATTGTTAACTTCAACTAAATTAGATGGCACCTCAGTTGCCGCTTGAATCATGATTATCTTCAAACTGTGTTTCTTATTCCTGGTTCAGGTAAATATTCTAGATTCTGATCACTACCTGTTCTAATGACAGTGCTTTTGTAGAGTCTTCTTAATCTTGAATATTAATTTTCTATATTGGCACCATTCGAAATGATTACTTTATCTTGCAACAAAACTTATCCTTTCAAAAATTGAATTGCAAGTTTTGAAATTTAATGGAAGATTCTGTAATGAACAGCAAAATCTGTTCCTTTTAAAATTGGTAACAAATGAAAAACACATTCATGCGGAAAAAACAGGCATTCCTTTAAATTCAGCTTAATATTTAAGCAATCTTACATAAATACAAAGTAATTTTTAAATCTTTTAGCAGTTTTAATGGCTTGTTAATGCCTATTGCTATGAAAAAAAATTTCTGTTAACATTGTCAATTAGATTTAGATGATTTAAAAAAATATAATGACCAATAGAAAGAAAATATCAAAAAATATTATTTACAAAAGGAAATGTTCAGTTCTAGGATATTTTGAAAGATGTTAGCTCTCTTTTTGAATAAAATCTGAAAAAAGTCTGATTGCTCCCAGCCCAAATCTTATCATGTGTAATTTCAATGTTTTGATTTCTAGGATAGTTCATCAAAAAAATTTCTTGTTGAAACGGTAGATGAATATTTTGATACTTCTCCCCCTCCATATGGTGAACAAGGTTTAAAATTATCTTAATAATGACATTATGCTTTTTTCTGTTCTAATCCTAAAAAGACAGCAGCACATACGGCAAATTGTGTAGTAATTCTATGGGTAGAAAAAATTGTGCATTAAAAGATATAAAGACTACATGTGCAAGCATTTCTTACACAGGCAAACACCTTAAATCATTTTGGAAGCTACTGACACCTAGATTTAATTTAATATTATATGGTAAAATTTTTTCTTCTACAGATCTTTTTATTTTTTAAAAATCAGCAGAGGACCCTGTGGAACCAGTAGCACCAATTCATCGTGGAAAAGGTATTGAACTATCTGAATAGATTTCAGGAAAAAAATTTTTTTTATGGTAACAACAAAACTTTTACCTTCCCCTCCCCACATTCTTTATTTCTATTAAAAAGTATCAAATCCTCTAAAATGATCAAATTATTCCCTGACCATTCTCTTTCATGAGACAAATTTGGCCCTTAAAAGGAAAACACAATTTCTTAAAAATGAAATCATTTTTGCATGGTTTATTATACATGCACAACTTCATGTATATTGCAATTTGATCTAGATATGCTTAAATTATTTCTTCTTTGTTTATTTTGTTTATTAATTATTCCCCCTTTATTTTGAATATTACACCAATCAATTCAATTTATTCTTATTTATCTCAATTTGTTTACTTGCTCCAGGAGTATGCCAGTCCACCCTACCCTGTCAAGGTAATATAAAAGATAAAACTAATCAAACTTTGAGGGCAAAACTGTAATGAATAAATTTGGAACATTGTACACAAATATTGTATGTATTTAAATAAAGATAAACAAACAGAGAACTCTACATTTTTCATTGTTTCTTGAGTCTCAGGGTTACGATTATGGCATGACACTAGATTATTACTAGCTGGGATGATACCCAGCAAACAAAAACTCAAGTTAAAATCGAGTAAAACTCGACTTTTGCCTTCCAGAAGTGGAGTTTTAATCGAGTTTAAAAGTGGAGTTTTATTCAGCTAGAGTCGTGCCATACAAGGATTAAAATTCGACTTTTCACCAAGATGATTTCTGGATGATTTCTGGATGATTTCTGGATGATTTCTGGATGATTTCTGGATGAAATGTGGATGATATGTGGATGATATCTGGATGATATGTGGATGGTATGTGGATGATATCTGGACGATATGTGGATGATATGTGGATGATATGTGGATGATATGTGGATGATATCTGGATGATATGTGGGTGATATCTGGAATATATGTGGGTGATATGTGGATGATATGTGGATGATATGTGGCTGATATATGGATAATATGTGGGTGATATCTGGATGATATCTAGATGATATCTAGATGATATCACACACATATCATCCAGATGATATAACCCACATATCATCCAGATATCACCAATCCAATCCAGTATTCTTCTTCACCCCATCATAATTCCTCCATCTGTAATAGTCTAAATTAACACTCAAACATACATACAGCACACATATTTAACAATCACATATTTAATATATGATATGCTGTATTAACTTACCATTAAATCTGTTACAAGACTGTTTTAGTGGAACTTCTATTTATCAAAACATTAAGAATTTTTTACTGACATTGATTCTAATGAAAATATCAATTTACTCCAAAATGATAGAAATTTTGGAACATTGTATTTACCAAAAATCATCAAATATTATTAAATTCTCACTTAAAAATGCGTTTTTGTGCAGTTGAGGTTTCGTGAATATATTGACACAGAAATTGGGATTCAAAAAGTCGAGTTTAAATCGAGTTTATACACCCAGATTTCACCCAGTTGATAAGTGGATTTCAACAGTGGAGTTTAAGTTGAGTTAAAGTGGAGTTTTAAAGTGGATATTTGAACTCCTAGTTTTCATCCTGACTTGGTAAAAACTGGGATTCAAAAAGTCGAGTTTAAGTCGAGTTTATGCACCCAAATTTCACCCAGTTGATGACTGGGAAAATATTGGATTCAAAAAGTTGAGTTTAAGTCGAGTTTATGCACCCAGATTTCACCCAGTTGGTGACTGGAATTCAAAAGTGGAGTTTAAGTCGAGTTTAAGTGGAGTTTTGAAGTGGAGTTTAGAACAACTAGTTGACATCTAGTTGTATCATCCACTTCTGTTTTCTGGGTAGTGACTTTATTGATCTGGTCTGAGTGAATCACCTTCTTTTTTGCAATCCTCTTAATTTGGAGGTTCCAGTGCTCTAATATCCCAAGAACATGATAGGTGTTGAGGGGGGTTTCTGTCCGTCTGTCTTTTCTCTGCCCTGGGTCTCCAGGTTAATTAACTTTCCCAAGCTTTCTCCCATTTTGATCTGAAAAAGATATCATTAATGTTGAACATATACATAACTGGAGACCGTAACACTCCTGCCTGGAGTGAGAACTTGGATACCAGTAGATTGAGTTCAATTATTGTATTTAACAGTACTGGTTATAAAAAATCTTTGTAATTCTTTTGATTCAAGTTGCAAACTATTGGTATCCATTTTCCCTGTCTAAGCTGAAGTATTACTGTGTTTTTCACTTTTGACACTCAATGACATGAATCCCCACCTCTTTTCCTTTTTCATTTTAACCCTATCCCCGCTGGGGTACTTGAAAACCAGGATACGCTGGGGGGGGGTCAATTTGACCCCCCCCCTCTAAATCCCATGTTTTATGTCCAAATATGACAAATGATACATCATTAGAAAACTCTTGTGCTCTACTTTTAGAATCTGCAAAAAAATTTGCAAATTTGCGAAAATTGAGTTTTTTATCGCAAAATCCAGTTTTATAGTAAAAATGTTTGCAAAAAAAACTTTGTCCAAAAAATGACAAATTATACATTTTTGAAAAGCCCTTGACCATGCCATTTCAAATATGAAAAAATTTTTGCAAAATTTTAAATAACCTGATTTTTAATCAAGAAAAACTAAAAATGTGCAAATTTCCTTTGACAGGTTTTTTGCAAAAAATTTGCAATTTTTTTTTCGCAAAACTTGTGCAATCCGTTTCCTTATGTCATAGGCTTTCCAAAAAGTTAAATTTTATCAAAATCTGACAAGTGAAAGTGGGTCAAAACAAAGATTTAGTTTGCTACAGGCAAAAGCAGTCATTCAGGCAATGTGCCTGAGGACTCAGGCAGTTAGTATTAAAGCCCGGTTTTAGGCCTAAAGGGAGGGCTTTGGGTATGTAAGAAAAGTCAGAAAATTTCAACAGCCTCAGACCAATACTTTTTGAGTTATGTAAAAAAAACTACAGGGGGGGGGTCAACTTGACCCCCCCCCAGCGGGAATAGGGTTAACTTCATTGTCAGTCCACATACCATTTCCCCATTTTGCTCTACTTTCTGGCCTACTTCCTGACCTACTTTTTGACCTACTTTCTTTTCAACTTTCTACTCTAAATCCTGACCTACTGTCTACTGCTGAATTATTGATTTTGATACTGCTAGTCCTTTAAAATTTTACTAAAGTGCATTTCTGGTTCTGGTTCAGATTCTGCTCTCCCTGGATGTGCTACACTATGTCTCTAGGAGGTACTATTGGTTGAGGTCTCTTCTTCTAAGCTTCATTTAACACCGACCTTACATTCTGTACTATCAATGATGTTGCTTGTACTTAGCTTCATGTATTCTGCACTGTTGTTGGCTAGCTTGGATGTAAAATTCTCCTGGGTGTCTTTGAGAACCTTGGTGTGGGTTAGGGGTGAAATTTATCCATTTGCTTGGATATTCTTTCTGACCTTCTACCCTTCTGATGATCTTGTTTTTGACTGACGCAGCTCTTATTGCTGCCAGTTCCAATGTTTTTAACCTTTTTAATGATTTATCATTTTTAATAGTTCCCGAAAACAATTTGAAACGTCTTTACCATTAAAGATTGACCTGGAAAAAATTGGAAGACATTTAATTTATACATAATTCAGGAAATTCTCCAGGCCCTTCATATAACTTACTGTCCCCGGATTGGGTAAAATCCGTCGAACCCTGTAGTTATGGAAGATTTACAAGTTCTGAAGGCGAAGAATTTACAATTGAAAGAAAAGAATCTGGACCTGTAACAATAAATGGATTTAAAATTACAGATGAAGCACACAAACAAGCATTGTCAGGGGAATCAAGTTTGCTGTTCATGGAAGACAAGGCAGTTAAACTTAAATTGACTTCTCCTGGTGTACTCACTTTTGGTGACCAAAAGCTGCCAGGATCTAAAGGAGTAGACTTCTCAATGTTAGGAATGCCCTCGCAGCCAATTGATCATGATTGCTGATATAATTTTTGATGATCTTTGTTAATATAAAAGCTAAAAAACTTTAATAGTAACAAAATTGCATTTTATCACACTGTGCATATGTTCTGAATTAGATACAATATGAAATTAAACCAATTCCTGCTGACATGTCCTTTACACAAAATACTGTATGAGATAACAAAAATTGTTCAAAATATATATAATAAATTTACAGTTTTGAAACTAGCAAACTTAAGTATGCTATAAAAGATTCAAAGTTGTGACATGTTTAAACCTAAGTGTATATTAAAAAAAAAATGAAACTCTGGCTTTCCCTTTAAAAGCATATTTTAACAAATGCTGCACAAGGATTTAAGTCTTTTTTAAGAGTTATGCAATGTTGAAATCCTTTGACTGAATGTCTAATTATAGATTTTGTCTGATTTAGGTAAGGTTAGGCAAGTCTTAGATAGAAAGCAGCCTTGCACTTTTCATTATTTAATTCTATTCAAAAAGTTTTTAAAATTTAGATATTCATTTAAAATCTGTTTGAATTATTACATAATAATTGTTTAGGTGTAATTAAATATAATAAAGTATTACAATTTTAATGTAAATTATGACTTTACAGGTTTGCATATTTTTGAATAAACAATTTTAATTCAATTTTGAATATACAGCTATAAGAAAATTTATCAAATGAGATTTAGAGATTATTGATCATAAGAATTTTCTTTTTAATTTAAAAGGAATAACTCAGTAGAGTTATTTAATAGTATATGTATTATGTAATCTTGAGATAAAATCCCAACCATTGAAAAAATAAAAATATTACCTGGTGAATTACTAATTGTTTTTCCCTTCTTACTTTCTATTGAGCCAGGTCTTTTTGTCAGTGACCTACAATTTATGTGAGTTTCATAGCATTAATACCATCTGAAACTCTGAGATCCAATTTGGTCTTTTACTTGGCATGGCTCTTTAGGAAGGTTTGGACAAAATTAGGTTTATCTTTACTTGAGTTTTGATACTTTAAGGAAGTTTGCTAATTACATGTTTCTAAATTCAATATCTCAGGTGCTGACACTAAACCCAAACAATCATGAGATAATAACCTTTGCAAGTTTTCTGGAATTTGATATAATTTACCAAACTAAATTAAAGATAAATTATTGCTAATTGAGGTAAGCTCTAGATGGGATATTTGAGTGGACTACTGTATTTACACAAACATCAAAAATGATAAGCTTCAAGCTATAATCAATAATGGCTAAAGGCTAGAAATAATATGCCAAATTTAACCATTTACTGGCAATAGTAATCCAGAAGTAGGCTTGTGATTTTTTTGTTAGAAATAGAATTACTGATATAAAAACACTTTAGTTGGAATAATCAATATCCTGCTTATAAATTATCAGCAGTAAGATTGCTGACAAAACATCTTGAAAATAAGCAATAAACTGCTTATAAATTTGGATTCAAAATGAACTAGAAGCTTTTAGAGTAATAAGTTGCTTATATGAATTCCAGTTTTTAAGAAGGTAAAAATTAGCTTGCTTATGCTGTGTTTAATAGAGATATCAACGTTTTGATTTTTCTAGATTTTAGCTTTCGTTATGATAGTGTCCATCAAAAGTATAAAGGTTTGAAATGTTATGTTGCACATAATGAAATTTTATGGCATAGATTAAAAATTACGTAATGAATTTACTGCACTTGAATACCTTATACAACGTTAAGCTTTTGTAAAAGTTAGAGAAAAAAAGTAAGCTTCGTTACGCTTTTGCATTTCCCGTTTTAAAAAAACTTTCCCAACGTTGCCTTAAAGCTTTAGTAATATAACCACAATTTTTAACCTTCCAGTTTCATGCAAGGTAAATGTTTTCAGAGACCTTACGTTACACTTCCACTTTGATTGAAAACAAAAAGGTGACAAACATTTTGCTTTAATAAAACGTCTTTTAGGCATAGTTCTGCAGGTTGTAATGCATTTCAGTGCAAAGAATATTTTTTCCAATATAAACTATTTTAATTACGTTTAGAAATTTGACTAAAATACAACTTTTCTTACGTTACGATTTATCGAAACATTATTGTGAAAACTTTTTTGTTACACTTTTACAACTGACAATCAAAACTTTTTATTCTTTACCTTGCGTTGTATTAAAATGTTCAAGCCTTAACGCTTCATTAAAAATAATATTGTTTCTAAATGAAAGCATGTACATGATTTTTTCCGTGATAATTACATTCCTACTTTAGTATTTTTCATCCTAAAACAGGCCATGCAAAAAAATTGTGTTGTTAATCCCTTTTTTACTCACCCTGTATTATGTATGTTGCTGTTGTATTGTTTACCTTTTTAGAGAATGTGTAGAAGAATATGCAATATAAAGATGCTATAATATTATTATTTTTAAAGGTTTTTAAAATTTGTGAATAAAAGTTTTTAGCAATAGACTTTCAACTTAAGGGTGTGTCGTAAAGGGACTTGAGACGTAATTTCAAGTGACCTTCCATTTATGGAGTGGGATGTCCAGCATACATTTACAAAATAGGAAAACGCTGGTTTTCAAATCATTAATCAGAAAAAGGTATACACTTTTCCATTGGGAATCGAACATGGCCTTCTTTAAAGGGAGTGTTCGCAAAGAATGAAATGGGGTATAGGCTTAATGCGATAAAAAGCACGATTGATCTCTACTAATCTTACTTCTATCTGATGCATCTATAAGGAGAAAATTGTTAAATACGTCTCATACCAAAGACAGTAGTGCCCATACAAATTGAGAAAACTGCAACATACGACTTAGACCATAAAAAATCAATTTAATTTCAAACAAATCATTCAGATATTACAACCTATAGTCATTGATTATCTTTCGCCACATTTATATATAGTTTATATTTTCTAATAGTTTTTAACTAATTTGTTTTGAATTTGATTATTTCTCTTGTTCCTTGCGCAACTATCTAAGAATGCCGCGCACCACTCACATGTTTCGAAATCCGTTAAAAACATTTTCTAAAAAAGTATTTTAAATTAATATTGTATACATCTCTGAAATATCTTTATAATCATAATTCTTTGACTGAACCTCCTTTTAATATCCATTTGGCGTTCTTCTTGGAAGACACATAGGTTAAAGGTTTATATAAAACTCTTTCAATGCACAAAGTTTTAATGAAGGGATAGCTACATTTGTTTTTTATATTATTTTATTTTCTTAATTTGATATGTTGTTGAATTCATTCCTTAAATTTATATATTTATGTTCTTTTACAAAAATATTATTATTAACTATCAAACTTGTTCATTAGTTTTCAGTTGATCAGTCATGGTGATTCTTTCCGCTTGTTTCTTAATCTTTGCACAGGTAAATTTTGGGTAGTTAAGATAAAGGAATTTAAAGGAGTTAAGTTATTTTGTGAAGTCAAAAATTTTCATAGAACCACTGTCTCTCCTTGTGATTTTACACTAAATTTATTTAAGTAAACAATTATCCTGCTATTAATATTATGGGAATTACTATCAATTTTGACCACTGAGATATTAGATATAAATATGTATATATGGGATATTATTCAATTAAGACTGAATTTAATTTATTATAAAAATCTTTTTAAATTTTCATATTTGTTAAGAAAGATATATTGGCCAAATATTATCTTATTAAAACAGCATATCAACCTCAACCAATCACATCAGCAGCATCAGTTCCAGGCAATTTTAATTCCTTAAACATTTATGAGTTATGAATTATGAAACTTTGTTAATATTTTGATAATTCAATACTTTAGTTAAATATGCAAATGGTAGTGACTATAGACTACATTTGAATCCAGGTAAAATTACATTTTAGGAGTTTTTAATATCAATAACTTCATTTTTTATCTTTCTAAGGTAGGGATGGATGGTTACCACTTTTTTACTATACAATCATTTCTTTTTGAAAAACAACAACAAAAACGATAGTTTAAAAAAAATATAGCTTTTTACAAACTGTCCTTTTCAAAAACTATCCTATTTTGTTTATTAAAAATGGTTGTTTAAAAAAATTATTTCTTATAACTTTCGTTTAATGTTTTAGAAGGACCCATTGCAACTGTGAAAGGAGCAAAGCCAGGTATTTTCAATTACTTTTGATATTCACTTAAATAATTTTCATAAATTTCATATAATTTTCATAAACCTGTCAAGCTTTTTAACAAGTCCTTATTTTCTTGAGACAAAAGTGTTATAAGGAAAAATATATTTTGAGGAAATTTACATTTTGAAGTTTGTTGCTCTGGATTTGAAGATTTACTTTATAAAAAATGGATTAAAGCACATTTACTAGTGCTCACACATTGCACATATATATACAATTTAGTATGAAATTTCAGTCGGATCTGCTATCACCCTGCCACCAGCTGTGACAGCAAAATCAGGCATTTTGAACTTCTGCTATTTAAAGCCTATCCTGCATTTTACATTTAACTTTCTCTTTAGGAACCCCCCCCCCCAAAAAAAAAAACAAGTATTTGTATATTTAAAAAATATATTTGAGGGATTTCACAAAATATTTTTTGAAAAATTATAAATATTTTTATTCTTGCAGATCCTAAAAAAACTGTTTTAAATGAATTACTTGTCTAATGATTGTTGATATAGGAATCATTCAGTATTCAACTTCCCCCCTCCCCCCTGCATATCCAAGTTAGAAGTAACTTTGCAAAGATAAAAGGGTAAAAAAAGGCTAACGCATTATTTTAAACTTTAAGTTGTTCTACCCAACAAGGAAAACACAGGTTTTCAATGAGATTAGCATGGTAGTGAACTGAGTCTAAAACTAAAGAATGAGCGAATTTTAAGTTCGAGGTTAAAAGTTCTGCTAAATAATGAGTAGCTACTTAATTATTAAACTTTCTCAATTTAAAATTTGAATTTCCCGGGAAAAATCTTAACCAATCAGAGAAAAGGAACGGATTTACATTACGTAACTATTGGTAATCAGCTGGTTTTTTTTCATTTTAAATTATTTACGTGACGGAAAATAAAATATATTTCAAGTTACAACAGTATTTTGGGTTTATGTGCAAACATTAATTAATCTAAAACGTGAAATTAATTAAATCAAGGTTTTACTTTTAAATATATCATAATTAGTTGAATGCCACTTACTCAGCTGAATGATGATAGACAAATAGGGATTGAGGGATTTCAAGATTTTAACCCTGTGTTTCAATTTTAACTCGTTTATTTAGGCGAGTTAAATATTTAACCACTGGGTTAAATATTTAACCTCACGGTTAAAGTTCAGGTTAAAATTAAGTCAGAAGTGGCATTTAACCATGAACTTAAAATTTAGGTCAAAACTTTTCATTCTTTAGTTTTAGACTCTGGATGATAATTCACATGATGAATTGAGTTACACGGGTAGTATAGCTACTTTTCACAATCTTAAAGATTCATCCTGTGTAAAGCATGGGACTAAAACCTGAAAATAATCCAGTTAAATTTCTGTCACCTCAGTCTTTCATATGTTCTGCACCTGGTAAAGGTACTATAGCAAGATCTTGCATATTCCCATCGTGTTAAACATAAGTAATGCAATGCCAGAATAACTAGATTTTAATTCTTGTACTTTTCACATATGAGATATATGAGATAATTCTATTTCAATTCTTGTCGTTTTTTCACATGTTGAGCTCGTAGCAAAGAGACTAGTGCAAGATCTTGCATATTCTCAAAGTGTTTATTATGAGTAAAGTAATGCCAGACTATCTAGATTTCAATTCTTGTAAATATCACAGGTAAAGTATATATGAGATATCTTGTGAAGAACTTCATATTTCATTTATAATATTTCAATATCATAACACCTGGTGTCTCTGCTTATCTTTTAGAAACTGAAAGTATATTGTAGTAAATTGAAATATTTAAACTAACTTAATTGTTCCAGATTAAAACTAGCATGAACAAAGTATAGAAAAGTTTCAAATTGAATTTTGAATTGTATTTCTTAACAACCTCTCTCTTTAAGATATTGCAATGTAGGGACTGTCCTGAAAATATGAACACATCAACATCGTTGAACATTATGTAGACTTAAATTTTCACTGTTTGAATATTGATGATTTTAAATTTACATTTCAAGATGTGTAATGTAAATGATAAAAACTAAAATATTTAGTTTCTAAACATTATGTATTGATTATATACTTTTATACGGTATTTATTATAAGATATTTCACACTGGACCAAAATGACCGCCAGGTTCAAAGTTGTTGCACTCAAACCAAACATTATTTTTTTTACTTACATATATATAGGATGTTCAAAAAAAATGTTTTTAAAATCTGCACTAGGTGTTAAATCAAAATTTTGACATTTGTAAAATAGCTAGCCTTTATTACAGTTTTTATTACTGTATACATGGAAACACTTTATATAAGTAAATAAATCAGCTTATTCTTCGACCACCAAAGTCCATGACTGCTTTAAGAAGTCTGTCTGCATGTTCAGGATGTTCCTCAAGTCTCTTAAACCTTGCCCATGCAGGTTTGAATTTTGCATGTATTGCTTCTCCAGTTTGTTCAGCAAAATTTGACAAACCACACGAATGGAATTCGACAAATGGTTCAACATGGCAGAGTAGTATATGCACTTTCCAAGTTATATTCAAATTAAATCCAAGCAAAGTAGCCAGTTCTTGACAGGACTTAAAGGAGTTTTTAAATCTAGCAAAACAGAATTTGTATCCAAATTCAAGTTTTTTTGAAAAACAAACATCTTTAAAATCTCAAAAGTCTTTCAAACATTGAATGAAGGGGACAAGATGAGGTTCAGTCTTCAGTAATTCCATTTCTAATGAGTCCAAATTTTTCAATATCCTGTTGGAGTTATTGCTGTCCCATCCTATCCCCTGGTATCCTCTTTGTAATACACACTTAGACTTTAACCAATCATCAAACCCACTCCAAATGTCCAAGATTCTTCTCAATGGATTAAGAACTGCTGAGTCCTCTTCTCAGGGATGAAACAAGAGCCTTTGTCTTATTCACAGACAACTCCAATAAAACTTGAAGTTCTTGTATAACTTGTAATGATATTTGCTTAACAGTTCTTCTGTCTGATTTCTTATCTGAAGTTCCCACTCTGATTTGAAGTGGAGTTCCACCTGTAGATAACAAAAAGGTAGATCCATCTAAAAGGTTTTCTTCTTCCATTTTCTTCTTTATGATTTTAGATGCTATTTGCTCAGCTTGTAGAGATTCAAGAGCAAAAGCCATCAAAACCTAATTGCTCAGAGCAGTAGATGATACACAATTGTGATTCTTTCCTGGCTCCAACAAAGTGTAGCATGCTTTGCACAAACGACCATTTTCAGTTTGATCTCCTGGTTTGGATGGTGATGGAATATCTGGAACCATAGTAGATTAGATCCTCTTGTTATTGTCTTCCATTTAACAACCTAGATTATTTGTTTTCTATTCATTATTGGAATTGGAACTTCTCTGATCAAAGTTGAAATTTATATTTAGATAACATAGGCCTGATACATCTTTATATAGTAGAGATATTTAAACAAGGTTCTAATAATCACCTAAGAAATCTTCTCTCCCCAGGCTCCAGAGGGAAAACCCCCTGCTTTCAACCTGTACAGGTTTCTCCTATATCCAGAGTAAACTACGTCTGGATAATGCTTGATAGTAGAAGAATATCCAGGGAAAATGAAGCTTCTAATTTGCTCTTCTTTTGCTTCATTAGCAGAATATAAAGCTTCAGACCTAGAACCAAGCCTCTCCCAACAGCAAGCACAAACAGAACTTCGTTCAAACTCCATTTATGTATGTGTGATATTAATTGTTTAAACTGTACTGTTTAGTAATTTTGAATTTTGGTGGATTTTCTGCCATATTTTCGCGGAATTTCACTAAATTCTACAACAAAAACTAACAATTTTAATCAACTTTAAATTAATTTTAAATCATGAAATTTAGATACTTAACACGCTGTGCAGATTTTAAAAACATTTTTTTTGAACATCCTATATGTATGTAAGTAAAAAAAATAATGTTTGGTTTGAGTGCAACAACTTTGAACCTGGCGGTCACTCTGGTCCAGTGTGATTTATATATCAGAAATTTATCACCCATCCCTTTCCCGTGGTTTAAAAAATCTAATTTAAGTGAATGGGAGGAAATTAATTTAATGTAAAATCCTGTGTACATTTTGTGAATTAAACTCAAGTTTTCCCTGTGCAAACTTGATGGTCCACATTCACCTTGTCAACATGTGAATTATCATGGGATATTCACAGGTTACTCCTGTGAAATATACCAGATTTACTTGTGTTCTCCATAGGCTTTCGTTAGTGGGGTAGTTGGTTATGAGTATTCTGTTGCAATTTTAGAATTAAAGTTACTAACTCTTACATTCAAATTTTTATCAGAAGAAAATGAAAATGATGCTTGCACTGGAGGTAATAAAATATAGAACTTTTTGATCAACACAAAAAACAGATTTTGTGATTTCAAAACATCAAAAATTGTAGTAGGATTAAGTTTTTAATATTGGTTATTTTAAGTATAAACTAGAATTAGGGTTTCCATTTTTCAGGTTTATGGAATGGAAATCGTAAAATTTCCAGTTTCCATTTTGTAAACCAGAAATTTTTCCGGTTTACGTAACGTAAACCGTAAAATTTCCAGTTTCCATTTTGTAAACCGGAAATTTTAACACAATATTAGACATAGAAAGCAATGTTAAAACATTAAAAGTTAAAATTTATTGGTTGACATACATTAAATACTCATTTAGTTCTACAATTATTTAATCACAAATATTTCACTATAGTTCATCATGACTATTTTACAGTTACAGTTTTTACTTTCCCTACTAAATTTTTTGACAAATTAGTTTTTATTTTTCAAGAGGGTCATCGGATAGGCTTATGCCCCCCCCCCCTCCCCCCCTGTATTTGATCAGGATGGGATGAAATGAACCATGTAATAAGAGTTTATAGAAACTAGGCTTTAAACTGGTGAATTAAAAAAATAATAAATTTTGAAGTTTTTTCCCGCAGAAATTTTTAACTAGTTATAAACTTTCTCTTGGGCCATGTGAGTTGTCTCACAAATGTTCTGCTCGGTCATTTCAGCTGTTTGGACGTTTATTGAATTCAAACGGACAAAAAAAACAGATGAGCAAAGTATATAAATAGAGCGAGAACCAGAAAACTCTGGAATAGTAGGACAACTTTTAGACTTAAATTATGACTAAATAGTTCCATGAACATGAAACACGGCAATTACATAGTATACACTATACTGTATACAGACCAATTAAAAAGTGATTTTATAAGTTACTATTTAACCTATTTGCTTTGTAACATCAATTAGACTCAAGGATTGCTTTACATGTTGTCTTCCTTTCTACAGTTTTCTGTAGATTAAATTATTTTGAGACATGGCAGTCAGGATTTATATTTTTCATGATAATTCACAGTAGTATTACAGTAAATACAGCTACACCAAATGCACGTCTATTATTCTGTAGATAGTATTACTTACTGGTTTTCTCTTTTACATAAGTTTAGGATGTCTTCAACGTTTTCCGGAAAATTCCGGAACAATTGTTCCGTAAACTGGAATTTTCCAGAACACCATTCTGTAACGTTCCATAATTCCAGAACAGCGTCCCAGAAATTTCCGGTTTATGGGAAAATAAATTATTCCAGAAATAGTTCTGGAATTCCGAAACCTTTTCATTGATGGAAATGGAAAAAATTTCCGGATCATTTCCATACGTAAACCGTAACCCGGAATTCTGGTGGAAACCCTAACTAGATAATAATATTTGATTTTTTATCTTTAAAAATAAAAATATCCGTCTAATAATTCCATATTTTGGCATTTTTGATATTAGTTTAAAAAACCTGTTGGCTTCCTTAGTAGCAGACTCTCTAGAATGCCTTCTAACGTCAAAGGAGCATAGCAAAACCACTTTGAACCAATTTTTTTAGTTCAGATGTTTCAATTTGATTATTCATTTTAAATTTTTAGATTTTAAATTTGTATGAATTTAGGTTTTTTATTCTTTCTCAATTATTTGATCAATTTAGATGCTGGATCTCTAGACTTTAGTAAAACAACCTGGATAGATGAAGTTGAATATTGTGTAAAGGAAACAATTACATTGGCTGATGGATCCAAGTCTATCATATCAAGAGATAAAGAACATGGCTCCCAAGTTGAGATCAATGGATTTCCAGTGACAGTAGAAGAATATCAAAAAGCACTGGATGGGGAGACAGTTGTGCTTGTAAAGAAAAATGGGGATAGCACTGAATTAAAAATTCCACAAGTTAACAATTTAAAGTTTAAGTCACAAAATAAATAGAATTGATTTTTATTTGGTTAATTGAAGTTTTATATTCATTTACAGTTACTGTTCATACTTTAGAATCTTTCAGAAATATTAAAGAGCCAAAGCAATTTTCAGTAAAATATCCTCTTTTGAGACTTCTCTGGGATAACATCTGCTTAGCAGTATAATCCTTCCTCTCAGTTTATTAGGTCAAACTTTTCATAATTACAAAAAAGTAAAAAAAGTTGTCATTACATTTAGGGGTTCTTTAGCGGGGTGCTAATAAGCATGAATAAGTAAGAATGAGTAGTCAAAGCTAACTGAATATATATTTATCAAACAACAGTATTTATACAAGATGCAGTATACTATAATCTAAACAATAACATATGAAGTATGGAGTATGCTATGCACTGCATTCCAGGAATCCAACAGGGGCACCATAGTCCCATATTGAATTCTAAATCCAGAAATCAATGTTCATGCAATTTTTGTGAAATCATGTATACAATTTATACAAAATCAAGCACAATGGATAAAGAATATAAGTACATATAGTACTTAAAAGTTCTGTTTAGTACTCAAATAGTAGTGTTGGCTAAATAGTTAACAAATGATTCTCGCAGGGTCAAAACCTATATGTATATCACTACCTAGAACTTAAAACATTCAGCAATCTTTTTACACAGAATACTTCACAGCCTTCACTACTTTTTATGCAAACACATTTGAAACATTGAAAATATTTAAGCACTCTTTTATTTGAGAAGAATGCACACAAAAAAAAACATAAATAACCCACAGCAGATAAGAGGGAAGACATTGAAATATGTGGGGTGTTAATTGTCAAAATTCTGTGTCTGCTTTAGGGAGCTCTATATGACTGAGCAGTAAGCAGCCAGCCCTTATTTTACTTTCATTTGAATTTTGGGTATATAAAAATAGTGTCTATACTGTAGATTGAAATTTATTTTAGACAATTATAGATCTATCATGTTGCGTTCATGAACAATCATTTCCCACTTTGAGAAAAGCCAATTTTTTTTGGATTAGTCAATGATTTCCCATCAAATAAAACATTTCCATCAGCTAATTTTAATTCAGCATTTGAGCCATCATCTTTAGATAATGTGACAGTTTCTCCGTCTAGAGCTTTCTGATATTCCTCAACTGTTATCGGGAATCCATTGAGTCTTACAGGGGAACTTGGATCTTCATCTCTAGAAACATCAAAATTATTTCCATCCAAAGTTACTGTGATGTCAGCGCATGGTTCAACTTCTTCTATCCAGGATGATTCACCAAAGGCTAGTGAGCCAGCATCTAACATAACATTAAATTAGTATTTGATGCAAACTTCCATAGACTTTAAAATCAAAAGTAAAGATATGTGTCAAAATAAGTAAAACATTCAAATTTGGATAAGGTCACTGGCAAATGGTAAAGATGATAAATAATTTTTAAAATTTTTTTTTATTTATTCATCAAGTTGAAGTGGTTTCATCAATCTAAAAATAAATTTTAATGCTTTTATAAAATTTAGAAGTTCACAATATGAAAACTGTGAATGTATACAAAAAAGATTAAATGATGAATCGGCTATGTGCTCATGCTCATCATTGAGGGGCTAAATTTCTATTGATTCTAATTTCTCTGAGAATAAAGGATGCATTTTCAAGGTGACATGCTTCCTAAGATTTAAAGTTTAAAGTAAACAATTAATATTGTAATTACCTCCTGAACAGCTTACATACTGTTCTCCATCTAAACAAAATGTTTAATACTAGTTAACTTATGAACTTCAGTATTTTAAAAGGATTTAAAGCTAATACAATTTATGAAATTGCAATAAGAGATGTTAATAAAATGTTACAATCAAAGCAACTCTTTTTTTTCATGAATTGGGAACATTTCTGTTGATAATCATAATCCCAATTGCAGTTTTATTCCTCTTGCACTCTTGTAGAATTTAGTTTCAAATGCTAATTTAAGATAAGCTTTATTTTTTGATTCAAAATCCATACATTTCTTTCAAAGCATAAGGAAAATGTTCATAGAAAAATTAAAAGCTCAATTTTGTAAGAAAAATTTGCATCCTCATTAACTCTTTGAGAAGACAGATAAGCCTATATGGACTATATACATAATTCTAAGATTTCAAAATGGCAATCTCAGATCTAAAACAGTACCCTTGTAAGCATAGTCTGGTATTAATTATAATCAATGTCTTTGTTTCTTTAAACTGTTATTTTCATTTGCGAGTTCTCTGCAATAGTGACTTCCACACAGAAATAAAAATGAAAGTACTTTTTTGATCAGTTAAAGTTTCAAGTGTACTGTGGTAAATTGGGCATTGCCATCTTTGCTTGGAGGGCAACTTAAAATTAGGCATACATTCCCTTTAATAAAAGTTTGGAAAATTTGGAAGCTGGTTAGTGGACCAGTGGAAATCTACCTTTTTACAAAGATTCCTTACTTTCATTGAATGCAACAGCATAGTCTTGTCCTGCTTCTTTGGCATTTCCAACTAGAACAATTTTAAAGTTTAACATAATGTTTTTGCCTTTTTTTACCCCAATCTTTGCAAAAAGGGGGGGGGATTGACTACTGTATGATTCCTATGAAAAACAATCATTAACCGAGTAACACATCCTAAACATTTTATTTAGGATTTACAAAAATGGAAGTATCAAAAGTATGGTGACATAGAAACACCTCAACACGTATGGAAATAACTCAACACGGAAACTGATCAAAAATTATTTTTGAGAAATTTCTGGTTTTTTTTAGAAATTTCGGGGAAATCCCTCAAAAGCTCAGAATTGTTGAGCTATTTCTGAATATTTTGTATCCGTTTCCCAATATTTATAGTTGACTGGTTTCCTCTTTTTTTGATCAATTTCCTTATATTTTTAGGTCCATTTCCTCATTTTATTGGTCCGTTTCCACTTTAAAAACTTTAAAAATCTCATTTTGTTGATTGGTTTCCTTAAATATTAGGTCTGTTTCCTTATATTTTTGATCCGTTTCCGCTTTTATCAAAAACTTTAAAAATCTCAATTTTTTGAATGGTTTCCTCAAATTTAAATCTGTTTCCTCATATTTTTAATCCCTTTCCGCTTTTATCAAAAACTTTAAAAATCTCAACTTGTTGAACGGTATCCTCAAATTTAAATCCGTTACTTCTTTTTTCAAAAACTTTAAAAATCTCCGTTTGTTGATCGGTTTCCTCAAATTTTAGGTCCGTTTCCTCATATTTTTGATCCGTTTCCGCTTTTTTCAAAAACTTTAAAAATCTCATTTTGTTGATTGGTTTCCTGAAATTTTAGGTTCATTTCCTCATATTTTTGATCCGTTTCCGCTTTTATCAAAACTTTTTAATCTTAAATTATTGAAACGCACCAAATAGGTTAATTATTTAGTTAGTTAGGAAACTGACCTAAAATTTGAGGAAACCAATCAAAAATATGAGGAAACATAATTAAAATGTACAAATATTTTTTTTCTTTTTTTGAATGGGGGGGGGGTCCTAAAGAGAAATATATATAAATATAAAATGCAGAGCAGGCTTCGAATAACAGAATTTAAAAATACCTGATTTTGATGTCACAGCTGGTGGCAGGGTAACAGCAGATACCACTAAAATTTCAAACTTAACTGTAAAAACATATTTGCAACATATTTGCACTAGTAAATGTGCATTCCCTCAACTTTTGTAAAAAGTAAATATTTGAATCCAGAGGCACAAACTTTAAATTTCCACATGGAACTTTTGCCTCAAGAAAAAAAAGTCTTGGAAAGCTTAAAAGGAAAATGGACTTTGAAAATTGATTTATTAAGAGAATACTAAAAGTAATTAATAAAAAACCTGGCTTTGCTCCTTTCACAGTTGCTATGGGTCCTTCTGAAAAATGGAATGAAAGTTATAATAAATAATTTTTAAAATAGGAAGTCATGTAAAAAAAACCTGGATTCATTGCTGCTGGTGGTGGTGGCATGGGAGGCATGGGAGGCATAGGAGGCATAGGAGGCATGGGAGGTAAGGGTCCGTCCAGTGTTTTAATAAGATATTTTTTAGAAGAAATTTCCTGTTGAAGAAAGATTAATGAATTGGAAATGTAAATCATTTAATATGAATAAAAGTCTCCTTGGCAAAAATTTCATTTGGAAGTTGAAAAATTGCTTTGATATAGCTGCTAAACAACCGGTTTAATATTAAGGTTGATACTTAATGCTAATGTGTTTATTATGGTATAAATATATATATCTAGAGAATTTTAAGTTCAGAATTTTTAAATTTATTTGTTTTCACAATTTTTGTTAGTTTTCCATCTTATTTTATTCATTTTCTAACTGAATGATCATTCAATTAAATTGTTCATTCATTGAATTTTTTTGTTCAGTAAAAAATGTGCTTTTTAAAATAAGTTTCTTAAAAATTGTTTGTTTAGTAAAAAACTATATTTTATTAAAGTTCTTTTGATTTTTTTTGTTCTGTGAAAAAGCAATTGTTTTTCTAGTTGATATAAAAAATTGTTTGTTCTAAGAAAAAACTATTGTTTTTTTTTCTAAAGTTTGTTCTACAATGCTGATACAAAAAATAAAAACAATCTTTATAGTTTTAAAATTGTTTTTTTTTCAGTTGCTTTTTAAAAACAATTCTTTTTAAACTCTCTGAATGTTCATCATTTTTCTTAGCTAAACATTTGTTTGTTTTGAAAAATTTTATTTGTTCACAAAAACAATGCCCATCTCTATATGTTATATATTATTGGATTATGGAAAAAATTTCTACAAAAGTTTACAGATCATGCATTTTTCCTTAAGAGTTGCATGATTTGACAGAAGTAAAATCTTTTGTTGGTTGATGTTTTTCATGTAATTTTTTAAAAAATCATTTAATTTAAATGCAGTTGGTGAAAAAATTAAAAAAAAACACAATTTGCATTTTTTAATACAAACTGAATCTATTTACATTTTTTTAAATCAGTTGGAAGTAATATGTCTGACTGAACCCATAAACACAAAAAATCAAACTCATTATTTACTGTATAGACATAAACATTTTGTATCACCTGAATAAAGAATATAAAACATACAGTGTAAACCCTCATGATTCAAACAACTGAGATGCAATTAAATTTAGTTTTGAAATTAATATTTATAAAAACATTTATAATCACAATTTTAATTATGATATTCAAGGAAATACATAAAATATTAAAATGTTAGAGATTAATTGAAAGAAATATTTGCCGCCAAAGAAAATTTCAGCTAAGAGTTGGAAATTGATAAAGCTTAAGTTTTATAGTTAAAGTTATTTAATATCAACTTGAAGTACAGGTTCAATTTTTAATGAACAAATATTCAGGTTCTGAATAAAACATTTGTTTCTCTGTACAGACTTTTTTTATCTGATATGAAATTTTAAAAAAATTAAACCCTAGAAAATCCGGTCTTTTCGTCTGCTTAGACCCAAGAAAAGCTCAAGCCAAGACTCAGGTTTTGGATGGCCTTTAGTTTATTTAAAACCAACCATCTTGGGTTTTTCTCTATTTAAGGCTTGAGTCTTCAGCAGCTGATGATCATAAATTTTGTAAAAACTTTTATATTTGTACATTTAAAATCTCGGGAATTATTTGTGGTGTCAAATTTTATCAAATATATAAAATAAACATACTAAAAAAATAATGTATCTTCATAAAGTTTGAATTTTTGTAAATTTACATCTCCATGTCACAGCTGATCTGACAGCAAGGGTGTAAATAAGGTTTCTGTAGGGGGGGGGGGGGGTAGTGAATTTTTTTAATGTGGGGTGTGAAGCACGCCAAATTTTATTTATCCCCCCTAGAATTTGTTATACCACCCCTAGAAAAATATCATCATGTATCTCAAAATATTGGTTTTAGTTGGGTTTGATTTGTATTTTCCACTCATTAAATATTGTTTATATTCTATTTCTAATTTCTAAAATTTTGTTGTCGTCAATGAAGTATGTTAAGATCTTAAATAAATCTAAAATGCAAATGACATTATATAGAAGTAAAAATGTATTCTTTATTGCCCATACTGTTTTTTTTTTGATTAAAAACATCTAATTGTATAATGATATTTACTTTTACTTTAGAGTTTAGAATTATTTAGAATATGTTAACTTGAAATCTGAAATATCTGAAGTATCTGCACATTCAAATTATTTTCGTGCAAATTTTAAAGATATTTAATTTAAAATCAACCTTTTTTTAGAAACAAATCCTAGTAACAACTCTTCAACCCCATGATTCTAGGGGGGGGGGTTAATAACCCTAATAACCCCCCCCCCATATTTCCGTCACTGCCTGACAGCATTCTGCCTGCTACAGAGAGAAAGCTTGCTAAACAGTCTCTGATTGGTCGAATCAATCCTGACTTGGGTTCTATCTAAGCCAGAGTTTGGGTTTTACTTGGGTTTAGGATTTTAAAGTCTCATCTCAAATGTTCTATTTCTATTTGATCAGCCTTTCCTGGACGTTGTAAGCTCCATTGTCACAGCACAGGAATTTTTAAAAACAAATCATGGAAATTGATTATTTGGACACAATACACTAATCCATTTGGTCTAAAACTTTCCAAATCCAAATATAAAGCCTTTCACCTGATCCATAATGTATTAGAGGAAATTGATATGGAAAAGGAAGCAGTGTGATAAATGGTTAAAAGAGCAATAGTGAATGTTGGCGAAAGGAGGAAAGAACCCACAAACAGTGCACACAATAGAAATAGAAAATTTCTCAAACTAAATTTAAAAGGCTTATAACTTAATGTTGACAATAAGTTTGACATCTGCTATGGTGCTGCATAGTAAGTTGTAAAGCAAAATTTCAAAATATCAAAGATTTGGGTAACATTTGTTACAAAAAGGTCCTTTGAAAAAATATCTATTTGTTGGCTGAAAGGATTACAACTAAAAACAACCCTCAACAGCCTTTATACATTAAAAACTTACCCTCCTTTAACTTATTAAGAATATTGAATCCCTAGAATGTCCAATATCAGATTGACATAACCCAGCTATCCAAATTGCCTAAGCAACGTAAACGCATAATATTTTGGCTCCAATTACGCAATTAAAACGCAAATTTGCGTAAGTCTAGATTTCAAAGTAGTGTAAATATCTAATTTTTCTTAAGTAAATATTTTATAACCCAGCTTTAAGTAAAAATATCATGAATTTGTGGAGATGTGTATCATTTTATTTCAGGTAAACAAATTGCGTAAAAATACGCTCAATTTGCGTAATTGCCTAAAACTCTAATCAAAATTATTTGTGAAATATCTAAAATTTCCTAAATGGCACATATTGCATTTTCCAAAATAAATTGAAAAAATAAACTTTTTAAAAGAATTTAAATTGTCTTTGTTAGCATTAAAATTGGGTAAAAATTGCGCTTTTTTACGCATATGTGTTGAGTGTTTTAAATATTGAAGAATTGAGTGGCCTAGGTGTGTGTGCACTGCAGTGCAGAGTGCAGCAGTATATAATGTTATATTAAATAGAAAGCCGTGTGATTTGTAGATAAGAGTGGGAAGGGGGGGGGGGTAATTGGGCAGAGAATTTAATGCGCTACATTGCACACTGGTTTTTAGTACCAAATTTTACTGCTAGGTGTCTCTGTTTGTTTTACATAAAATTTAAAAAAAGTAAAAAGGTACAGATTAAATTTTTTACTAAAAGTATATCATTTAGAAGTCAAGATTTAGGGGTTTTAAATTATTTTTAATTTAAAAAAAAACAAAACATTTTTATTAGGAAAATGCATTAATTTTTCTATCAGAAAAATTTATATAACTTTTATAACTCCATACTAATAATAAAGCTATAAGCAGTAATCTCTATGTTAAACTATATTCCCTGATGAGTGGAATCAGTTAGAGAGAGATACTTATACTGCATCCAGCCATCCAACTGCAGGGATGGATGGCATATCTGCATGCATCAAATTTGCTTAGATTTAGCATAATTTTTGGTAAAAGAGAGCCGACATGTTTATTGAGAAATAAATAATGCACATTTTCGATGTAAATTTGTATAATATTATTATGTAAATTTTACGTATACTAAAACCAATAAATTTGCGTAGCTAAGTGTGCGATTTTACGTCTTTCATGACGTAAAAAGAACCAAAATCTCTACATAAAATTTACGTAAAAATGCGAAAAGTAATGTTTAATTTGCGCTCTTTTTGCGCAATTTGGCTATCTGGGAAGCTGGTCAGAGAAATTAATAAAAATGAATATAGTAAACTTTTTAATAAAAATACATGACTAAGATGGTTAGTAGTAATATTAAGAAATGTTGAGCAAGACTTATTTAAAACATCTCATATGAATCTTTTTTTAATACTGTAATAATTAAACCATGATGAAATTTATAGAGTATGATCATATACTGAAAAACCCTTCAACCCTTTCTTCCAGCTCTGAGTGGAGTAGAGAACCTAAAGACTAAGAACAGTACACAACCAACCTTTCTGGAATATGGACACAGATTATAAATCTTCCGTTTGTATAGGAAGGCTGGGTGGCTTGCACAACATACAGCTATCAGACAGCCAATATATAGATATATCTTTATCATGCCTCCTAGGGAACTTAGGAGGACACTGGCCTCTTTCCACCTCATTATACAAGAAGATACATCCTTGGAGTCCTCATCATCACTGATATCTGAGGACGCTGCTTACTCTTCAACTGGTTTAGAAGAAACAAACACACAGGTTCCCATACTTGTCTGTAGATCTCATCAAGAGATTCATATCCTGTAGCCTTTAGAACTGGACCAATTGCTCTCAAACAAGCCCATCTAAACTACCTACTGGAATATCCTGGATACAGAAGAGAATTAGGATATTCAAGATATCAGATGCTGTCTAAATCTGATACTGGAGATGCTGATCTTTACAGACAGCTCTTCATATATCTGTAGAATCTATAAGATCTAGTGCGACTTATGACTCCAGGAGCAGAAACTAAACCTGATACTGAGGACGCTGCTCTTAGCTCTCTAAATACACATCATAGAAGAACAAGATGATTTTGATACAGGTGACGCCACTCTTAGAAGACAGCTCTCCACTTGTCCATTATAGAAGAACAAAATAATCTAAATCCAGGAGACACTGCTCTTACAAAAAGATATCCACATACACATCATATAAGAATAAGATAATCTTGTGACAAGAGATGCAAACAAGTTGAACTACAGACCAGCCATTCCAACCACAGACCAAGATATATTCTTCAGCTGGTTCTATGAACAAAGCTACTAGAGACATGGAGCAGATAGAGTGTTCATACAGAGAAGAACTAGATTACCCCCCCCCCCCCAGTACATCAGAAGCTGCTCTACTCATTTCAGAGGATTCTGGGTTAAGAGACACTGCTCATTGCAGAGCAGCTCTTAGAAGACCTGTTGCAAGTCCAGCAAATGAAGGAGCTGAGATCACAGTAAAAACAGATTGGAAGAACAGTCAACGTAGCAGGGACTTCAGGAACAGCGCTGTTTGTTAAGGAAGCAGCTTAGAATGCACTAGAAGCATCTCAGATTGTAGAAGCACCTGAAGTAGCAGAGACTCTAGGAGCACCTACAGTAATGAACAGCTAACATAGCAGAGACTCTTGGAGCAGTTCTGGTAATGAACAGCTAACATACCGGAGACTCTAGGAACAGCTCTGGTAATGAACAGCTAACCTAGAAGAGACTCTAGAAGCAGCTCTAGTAATGAACAGCTAACAGCTCAGATTGCAGTGTAAGAGATACAGAACTGGAGCTATTGAATGAGATATAGAGTTGGAGAAGCTAATTAAGATATTGAGATTGAGGGAGCTTCTAAAGACTTTTACAGAACTGGAACAGTTAAACCAAGAGTACCCTGAAAGAAAGGATTTGAAGATCGCATATCGGAAGTATATCAAGCTACACAGAGGATTGCAACAATGGAGCAAACAGCTCCAATCTCATGATCTTCTATTTTTTGTCATGCTTCCGCTGGATTTTTGAAACCACAAACTGGATAGGTGGAAACCTTAGAAGAGAAAAATATACTTCATATTATAGGTGGACTGAAAGCTAACATATTTTATTAATATATATTGTTTGTCAAATACCTTTTCTTCAAATTTCTATATTACTTCTTCTAAAATGAATACACTTTTTTCATTCGAATTTAATCCAAAAATTTCTTTTAAAAATTACATAATTAGAATATTTATATCACAAAAGAAATTGTGTCACCAACATTAAGAGATTTTCCATCTATCATCACATTTCCATCTGTAACAACTAAGCTGGTTGTATTACCATCCACATTCATCAACTCTACAATTTCCCCATCAAGTGCCCTCTGGTAGTCCTTTTTGGTGACATTAAACCCATTTATTTTGACAGGGGTTCCAGGCTCTTCTCTGGTAATTACAAATTTATTGCCATCAACCTTCATCACGGCATATGTACAAGGTAGAACACCACTCAGCCATTCAGCAGATTTATAGTTTCTGGATCCTAGTCCTTAATTATATTTTGGATTTAGGCTAAAATTCTCCAAATTGTTCAAGTATTAAAGATGTGAAAATTAATCATCTTAGATTTGATAAAATTGCATTGTACCAGATTACCTCCCATAGATGGACCACATTGTCTTGGGGCATCTTCATCTAAAGACTTGCTATTAGTAGCTTCTTTTAAATCAGCTCAGATCAACTATTATTTGAACAGACTGTGCATTATGAACTTTTGACATCTTGACATTTATGACTTTATTTACAAAACTTCAAGATTTGCTAATATTGGAAATGATACAGGATCATCAGATCTGAACTCAGTTTAAAATATTTAACTTTAAATCAAACATTTGCTTAACTTAAGGTTTGGATAAACATGTAAAATATGACAAAGTTCCTCTGCACAAAAGGAAAACATATTGACTTTGGTTGATTAAAATCAAACAACAGACATATACATGGGGTTGTTAATTGTTTTTGAAAAAGATTGTTAAAGGATCGTTTTTTGTTTTGTTTTCTGATCATTTTCAAAAATGATTGTTTTGTATTCTGAAAAACAATTGCTTTTAACCCTATCTCTGCTGGGGTACTTGAAAACCAGGATACGCTGGGGGGGGGGGGTCAATTTGACCCCCCCCTCTAAATCCCATGTTTGATGTCCAAATATGACAAATGATACATCATTAGAAAGCTCTTGTGCTCTACTTTTAGAATCTGCTAAAAAATTTGCAAATTTGCAAAAAATTGAATTTTTTATCGCAAAATCCAGTTATATAGTAAAAATGTGTGCAAAAAAAATTTGTCAAAAAAATGAAAAATTATACATTTTTGAAAAGCCCTTGACCATGCCATTTCAAATATGCAAAAAATTTTGCAATATTTTAAATAACATGGTTTTTAATCAAGAAAAACTAAAAATGTGCAAATTTCCTTTGACAGGTTGTTTGCAAAAAATTTGCAATTTTTTTTGTCGCAAAACTTGTGCAATTTGTTTCCTTTTGTCAAAGGCTTTCCAAAAAGCTAAATTTTATCAAAATCTGACAAGTGAAAGTGGGTCAAAACAAAGATTTAGTTTGTTACAGGAAAAAGCAGTCATTCAGGCAGTGTGCCTGAGGACTCAGGCAGTTAATATTAAAGCCCTGTTTTAGGCCTAAAGGGAGGGCTATGGGTATGTAAGAAAAGTCAGAAAATTTCAACAGCCTCAGACCAATACTTTTTGAGTTATGTAAAAAAAACTACAGGGGGGGGTCAAATTGACCCCCCCCCCCCAGCGGGAATAGGGTTAATAACACCCACTTAAACTTTAATTGTTTTTGAAAACGATTGTTTTTACAAAACTATCAGCGATTGTTTTTTATAAAATTGTTTTAAAAATCTATAGTTTTTGAAAAAAAAATTGTTTTAGAATTTTTTTTTTTTGATAAATATGCTAACAAGCGTTAGCAAAGGGTCGTCGTTAATGATCATTAAGAAAGTTAAAAAAATTACATGCAACTTTATTAAATGTTGTCTTATATGAAGGTAAAAAGTTGTGGGGGAGCTGAAAATTGTTGATATTTTCTTTAAAACTGCTCAATTATAAGTACCTATGCTCTTGGGGGAAGTTTCCTCTCTTCTTTAAAGATCATTAGCAAAGAGTCGTTGTGAATATTCATTTAAGAAGGGACATCATTAACAACCGTGAGCTTTAGTAAAATAATCATTTTACAAAACAATTGTTTAATGATTGTTTCATTTTCGTTTTTTGTTGTCAAAAATGAAAACATTAACATCCCTACATATACATGTCTATCTAGATTTAAATATATATATTTCTAATTAAAATATATATAATATATATACAAATTTAAGCATTACCTGCTGCACTGTAATCTCCAAATAGAGGTGCTACTGTTCCTGTTTCTATAACATCCCAACATGGAGACATTTAGAAAGAATTACTGCAATTACTATTGTTCATCTTAAACTTTATCATACCTGAGTTTTTCACAAGGGTTTTATCAGTTTCAATCAGGTAAAATTTGGAAGATGCATCCTGAAAATAAATTTTAAACATTTTCAATTTTTTAAACACTTTATCATTTCAGTTTGGTTACATTTGGTTATTTTTCCATGACATTTTATGCTTTACAAAAATACTATGCTGATAACGATAGAATATAGAAATAAAAAAGTTAATAAAATAAATTGTGCTTAAAATTTGAATTTTATATATTTATTGAAATTAAGAAAAACAAAAAGTTTTGAATTTTTAATATTGTATAGAATAAATTTGCTTTTCTCATACTTAGTTGTTAAATCAAGTTTTTAGATGCTATCAGGTTGCAAAGCTGTATTAGTGGTTCTCATGAATTTTACCTTCTCATACTGTCCACTTTACAGTGATATAGTTTTACATGGTTTATAAAATTTAATAATTCAAGGGTATTGAAAAAATTTTAGGTTGGGTAATTGCACACTTGTATGATATTTAATTAGATGGTAAGATTAATGAGCTCAACCTGAATTAAAACCATGACACAAATTACTAGATGCCACATTATTACTTGATTAACTGAGTAATTCATTTACATAATGAACATTAACATAGTATTTATTGATTAAAACATTAAACATGCCGAATAATAAAATCAAAAATAATTAAAACTTTAATTGATTTCAGTTTTTAAAATAAAGTTGCCGCATACTAAATTAAACAGCTACATTTGAAAAATACACTTGTAAGGGTTTAAATACAAATACAATTAGATTGATCTATCTTTCCATGTTGCCATTCTCAGTTTCTACTAACCATTTTACGCATGCCGGTATGCATTCATCATGTTTGCGTCATCCATAAGCATCCTATCTTGAAAGTATATTTTACTTCCTTGTTGGATGATTTATTTCTCTACAAGGAAGTTTACATGCAGTACACAATATACTGCATGAAGTACTGTGGTTAAAATTCTTACAAAAGAAATGGAAAGTTTTGGTTCTAGAGTACTAGTTTCATTTGACAGAAGGTTTGCAATGTACTGTCAAATGACACCACATCCCACATCATACCGGTTAACTTGAACTGCCACTTATTCTACATATTTTGCAAAGAGGAAGAAATGAAACATTTTTAATTCATACAATTATGATGGTCTACTATACAATAAAGATTAAGTTCTGCATGGAGAAGTATTAAGACTAAATTAAGGTTCAAACTAAACTAATGCTTAAATGAAAGTTACTTTGAGTAAAAATGTTTTAATATTAAGTACAGGTGTATTAACTTTATTTACTAATTATATATGTCACCCATATTAAAACTGATAGTCAGGAAGGTTTTACAGGATTTAACCAATTGACGTTACACTTTTAAGTTCAACATTAGTTAAAGCTTTTCCATCTAGCATAACAGTGTCATCAGCAGAAGTTTTTAGTTCAGCAGTAGCGTCTCCATTTTCATTAGATAGAGACACTGTTCCTCCATTTAGGGCATTTTTGTATTGTTCCACTGATACAAGGAATCCATTGAGGGTCACAGGAGAAGTATCATCGCTACCTTTACGAACTTTAAATGTATTTCCACCTAAGTTTAATGTGACACTAGCACATGGTGTAACTTGCTCTATCCATTGAGGGGTACTGAAGTCCATAGAACCCATATCTAAATTATTGCATTTGGCATTAGGCATTCAACTTATTTCTACTTAAGTAAAGCCCTATCCTTGCTTTTACTTAGACTGAAATAAAAATAAAGTCAAGACTCGGGTTTTGGATGGCCCTACACTTAATAAAAATAAACTGCCTTGGTTTTGAGTGCTCTTGAAGGCTGGGGTCAAAAAATGATATTTACAATTTGTAAATTTTGTAAAAACTTATGTTAGTACAGAAAAAATCTAGAAAATTATCTTTAGTGTCAAATTTGATCAAAAGTATGAATCAAACCTACTAAATAAACTATGAAGATAATGTAAAGAGCTGGAGTATGCAAGGACTTTGCGGGAATATTGGACAACCAATTATGGCTGTTCTTGCAGTGTAAGATTTAATTATAAACAAGTTATGAACTTAAAAAAGTAATTCATGAATGATTGGCTTTGATTTAAAGAATTATATCAGATAAATCAATTTTGCCTAAATAATTAATAAAATCTAAATTATTACAAAAAGTATAAAAATAAAGACAGAAATGCACTTTACTGTAAAGTAAGCCAACAAGGTTAGTTATGTTCAATAAATTGATTAGTTTTTCTGTAACTGAATTCTTTACTCTTACAAACTACTCAAAGTTAGCAAAACATGTGGCAAAAACTTACCAAAAAAATATTTTTTTGGTTTGTTTTTGCAAATGTCTTCTGTTAGTGATAAAATTTTACATAGTGAAATTTAGCAATTTCCTTCCAAATGTTTATAAAATACTATTATAGAATTTTTCTTTGCATTTTTCAAAAATCAGTTTTTAAAAACAACCAAAAGTTTAGACACTTGATTTATTCTCTTTAGTAGTTTAGAGATAAAATTGACCAACTAACTTACTTCCTTGGCAAGAATGGGACTCTCCATCTAAAATATATAAATAAATTGTTTTATGCCTAAACTTTTAATTTAAAGATTATTTATTTTATTTTATCAACTTCTCACTTTCATCTATCCACATGGCATAGTCATCACCAGCTACAGAGGGGTTTGTGTCTATCACTAAAATTAATATTTTTATTTAACAGAAATTAATTTTCTTTTAAAATTCTCAACCAACAAGTGGACATGCAAAGTGAACAAACTATTCAATTTGTTTATTAAATGCTGGTATAATCTGCAAAATAGACTAGTTGAAAGAAATTTTCTGCTTTTAACTGATAAGTACAGTTTAAATTAATAATAAAAAAAATTAATAATGGTGGGGGGATCAGAATGCCTAAAAAAACCTGGATCTACTTCATCAACAGCTTTTGAGAGGGTTGTGTCACCAACTAAAATTTTGATTATTATTACAACTTTAATTATATTCTGAAAATCCCAATGGAAATTTTTATCCTACAAAATAACTCATTGAATTATTAAACTTTCCAATTCATTTATAACTTCATAGTGAAATCACAAAGTGATTGGTTCATTTCAGTTTAGATGATATAAAAATGTAATTGAATTAAACATGGAACATGAGGATGTTTATTAATAGAGTGGACAAAAATTGCTAAAAAACTAAAGAATTTCAAAACCTTTATCTACTGCATATTTTAATATCTTAACCATTTCTAACCTTTGTCAATGGAATAGTCATCACCAGCTTTGGATAGGTTTGAGTTTACCACTAAGATTTTGATATTAAATTAACAGAATTTTTAAATTTGTTTTTTATCTACAACCAACAAGTGTACTTTCATAGTAAACATAATATTTAATTTGTTTATTAAATGCTAGTTTCATCTGCAAAATAGAAAAAAATGCAAAAAACATTTTCTGTTTTTAATTAAAAAGAAAAAAACTAGAGAAATAATAAACCTGGATTTACTGCATGTGGTATGGGTTCTATGGGTTCATCTGCTGTTTCAATAAGATATGTTCTGGGTAAAGTTTCCTATAAATATTTAAACTTATAATAATCTACTAAAACATATTTCCCTCCACCTGCACTGCCTAGGAGACTAACTCCCCAGAAGTACTGCATCAGGCAGAGCATTATATGGGTTGAACCTACAGTTGCTTACAAGAAAGAGCAATCTCTGTCAACCCTTCCTAGCTTCCTTAAAATTCCTTAACACATCTGACCTCTTCACATGCAGAAAAATGAGACTTGTAGACATTCCTTGGCTTTCTTAAAGCTATGTTAACTCTGAGTGGGTCACCAAATCCTCTTCTGTTGCTATGTCAACCCTCTCTATGTAGCCAAAGAAAAATATGAGCAGGGAACTTATTTCTCTTTCAAACACTTTTTTCAGATATAGTATCACAGAAATATCTATGTTCATTTATTTATGGTTCACCTTCTTCTCACCTATAAACTCCTTCCTCCCCATTCATGTGTTCTGAATTAGAATGATGATGACAAAATCAAATAATCAAAATAAGGGGGGGGGGTTCAATGAAAATCACACTGTCTTGAAATTGGCACAAAGACACATACTCATTTTAAACAATATAAAAACAGCACCAAAAATGGACTGGCAGAAAAAAGAAGAAAGAACAAATGAGAGTTGAAGATTTGCAGGTGAAGAAAAATAATATGTACATTTATTAGCTACCACCTCGGAAGCTCAGATCTGCCCAGGTTACTACTCGTGCCATCCAAAAGCACTTGAATGATTTTACAAGGAAGATGGATTTTTGCTATTAAAGTCAACTAAGAACCTAAAAACCAAGCTAAGAAAATTTCTATGGGTCTCCTAAGTTACCCAATCAAAATTTGAGGCAAATTGGTCCAAGGGTTCAAAAATTATGAAAAATTAGATTGGTAAAGAAAATGTCTGCTCCAGAATATTTACCTGAAACAGAAAGAAAAGACAAATCACAAGATTTAACATGATTTAAGATGCAACTGAGGTACAATTAAACCTAGATTAAAACAATTTGCCAATCTAAATCTGTATTTATTATATCATCAAAGAAACTTAAGCAAAACATAAAATGCACTAATTAAGAGGAAATAGACCAGTTCATTTAAGCAATTTGAAATAAGGAAATCTTATTTACTAAACTTTTTGAAACAGCCTAAACCTCTGAATGTTATAATATTACCTGACTTTTGATCTTGTTCTGCAACCTCAACCTTTGCATGCAATAATATTACCTGAGGCCGAATTTAAAGAATTTGAGTGGGGGCTTAAATTTAAACTGCAGCTCAAATATGGTTGGTTTCACTTAAAATTGTATTAAGCTTTCCAAGATTTAAGCAGGCACTCAATTGAAACCGGTTTTTGGGTGATTTGAGACGCGGCTTAAATTCATTAAATTCGGACACTGGCTTCTTGTTCTAGTTCTACAATCTTATCCTCCAATTGTTATTTATAATATTACCTGACTTATTGTTCTATGGCCTTGGCTTCTTGATCTTTTTCTATGACCTCGACCTCTGCATGTTTTAATATTACCTGGCTTCTTGTTATTGTTCTACGACCTCAACCTCTGTATGTTATAATATTACCTGGCTTCTTTTTCTTGTTCTATAACCTCAACCTCTACATGTTATAATTCATGGTGCTTATTTTGAGAGCACATGTTTTACTTACCCTGCTCTGAAAGTGGGGCCTCTACAGATGACCTTTGACATTTTGTATAAATATAAGGACTGACTCCCCAGTAGCAGTACATTTAAAGGGTTATTTAAATTTTGTAATGATAGATCATAGTCAACAAGATGGAACCATTTCCCCAAAAACTTTCCTTTGACCTGAAAACTATTTTTACCCTCCTCAATAAGCAAATAAACTGTCCCTTGGAGCACTGAAAGTTTCAGAATTCCAAGAAATAAAAACACCAATTACCACTCAAAAAGTAAATTTTTGTCTGATAGCTTAGAAAGAAAATCTGAGTGAATAAACAAAAAACATAGAAAAGTTTTTGATGTAAAAATTAATTATTTGCATGACACTTTTTGTATTAACCTTTTTCTGGAACTGTTGGTTTAAAAATAAAAATTCAAGATTTCTAATAAAAACCTTAAGAATTGTTTATTTACTTTGAGAAATCAAAAATTTAGTAGCTGTCCAATTATGATTAAAATCCAGTTATTATTAAATCATTATCATTCTTAAACAGTAATCTTGCTGTTTAATGAATTTCTCAATTTTTTCTTTATTCTATTTCTATGATGAATTGTCTTAACCATAAGTCATAGCTGGCCAAGTCAAAATTTACCTCCTTTTCATTTAATTTCTACAGTGAAAAAATAGAATGGGAAGACGACATTAACCAATTTGATGTTACAAAACAACAAGTTATTTAATCAAGTTAAAAAAGTTATTTAATCACTTATTAAGTAAAATGGGTATGTTCACACAGCACAATTGTTGTGTCTTATACTCATTGGACTATTTATATTACTGGAGATTACAGGTTAACTGCATATTCTAGAGTTTACTGGTTATTACTGTATTTATCCAATTTGCAAGAACAAATATTATTGAGGATAAACACAAATTTTTAATTTATTCCTTGAAATTTGAGAAATTAAGCAACTCATCTGTTACCTCCTTGGCAATAATGATAATTTAATGGAAAAAAATATTGAGTCTGGGTAGATCCATTTATTTCGTAACATTGTTTTACAGAACATTTCAAATTAACATCAATGCATTAGAATAATCCTCACTAGTTGGATACTCTGTACTCCTATCTGCCCACACAATATAGTCATCACCAGTTCGTGGTAGATTTGCATCTGGCCCTATATTATTTTGAAAGATTTACAATTAAAAAGTAAACTTGCACAGTTACCACATTTCAATTTGACTAAATAAATGGTTCTTGTTTACTAGAACATTAAGTTCAATTGATAAAAAAGCTGAATGAATTAAACATGGAAGGGTGGCAGAGGGACACATACTAAAAAGTGACAAATTATGGCAAAAATGAATTTAAAAACTAGAAAAAAATTAATAACCTGGTTCTACTGCAAATGGTAGGGGTTCATCTGCTGTTTCAATAAGATATGTTTTAGGTAAGGTTGCCTATTAATTTAAACTTAGAATTAACTAGAAATTTTCATTCTGCAATAATAACCTCAAAAACTAGAAAATTGAACCTCTGGAAATCTTCAAAATTTGGACGACGAATAGTTTAAGCTTTCCCAATTTATTGTATTTAGATATTTGTTAACAAAAAGATCCAACATATAATCATAACAATTGAATGTAATGCATTACAGGATTCATTTGTCAACTATTAAGAAAATATAACAAGATACTGTATTGTCAATATTTTTCAATGTATTCTGCTGGTTCCACTTTTGGTTATTTCACTTTAAGAGGTTTTACCTGAAACAGAAATGTAAGACAAAAAATAAGATTTAACATGATTCAAGATGGAACTGAGTTACAATCAAATCTAGAGTAAACTAACAATTTGCCAATATAAAACCTGTATTAATTATATTCAAACATCAAAGAAACAATAAGCAAGGCATAAAATGCAATGATTAAAAAAAACACAAAAAAAGATATTCATGGGTAATTTCAAGCACATTCATTCTAACCAATTCCTCTTAACTTCAGGGTGAAATTATATATTTACTGATTTACTGATATTTCAAGATGAATATATCACAAACTTTAGCTAGATTGGGGTGTAATGATTTGGCTTTATCAAAGTAGGGCTGAGGCTCTAATGTTGGAATTTGTCTTAAGCTGAAATTGTTTACCAAAAACTAGAAATGATCAAGGAAAATAATAGAAGCATACATGATATTATGCAGTTTTGTTGAAACTGGGAGAAGTTGAAAATCCTTAAATACTTAAGCTAATCAAAATTCTTTAATGTTAAAAATGATTGGGCTTTTTATAGTGAAGAAATTGATTTTTTGTCACAATCTCTGATTTTCATATTTCTGTGCAACCCAATCTTTTAGAGCTTAGATATTTTAAACTATGAAAACTGTTAGATCAAATATGATAAGTTTTAAATATAAAGAGTTTATACCATCAGGTTGAAAAGAAATAGGGATTAGAAAATTTTGAGTTTGTTGCCAAGACTCACTTTCTTTCATACCAACTTTTATATTTGTACAATATTTTGGGAATTATTTGTCGAGTCCCAGTCTAATTACATTGAAAGTACTACTGTATCTCTTGTTCAAACAAAACTAGCAGAAAAAAAAATTTTGTTTCAGATTTAAATAGTTTGATAGCTCTAAAATTTAGGGGGGGGCTAAGCCTTGACAGGTCTAGGTGAGAGAACTGTCCCCTTTGCCTCCCCCTGTATACACCCTTAACACCTACTCAATAACAAGTTCTCAAAATGTATCTATCCAGGTCCAACCTTTTCGCCATCAAATTCAACAAGGACTCAACCCACCTGGCTCTTAAAGGCCACACAGGGACACAAGAGAAGAGCAAGGAAAATGTGTTTCCACTATTTTCTGTAGATCTTCCATATGTTGTTGTGATTCATCCATCTTCTTGTTCTGTTCAAACATTGTTATTATTTTTGAATCTTTTTTCTTTTCTTAATTCTCATTCCAATTTCTTGATTTTCCTCAGAATAGCTTCCAATTTCTTATATTTCTTGTTCCAACCTCTGCCTCAGGGCTTCCAATTTTTGCATTGAAAGTTTCCACCCACTATTCCGGTTTTCTTCATGTTTGATATTCTGATGTCTGGTTCTTCAATATGTGTCCACTAGGGTTTAATTTAAAACTGTTTATTGTTACACTCTGTTTACACTCCCGACAACTTGTTGCTTCATTGCTCCATTGAGTCTGTAGTAATTACTCAGGGTTCCTTGATCTGATTCAAGCCACTGCTACCACTTTTGTAGTAAAAGCCTACTCCATAACAAGTTCTTGAAACGTTTATATCCAGATTCAAATTGTCTGTCAGTCCAGATCCCAAATTATGAGGACAATCCACTCTAAATGCCACACAAGGAAACAAGCCTAGCTTTTAAACAACCTGTATATCAATCCCAACTGATGGGGAAAGTCTGCTCTAAATGCAACAAGGACACAAGCCTAGCTATACAACAAGCTATGTATTGATCCCAAATTAATGGGGCAATCCTACCTGTTAATGAGAAGAGGGTTTCAGGTTTACTCTCACACAGTAAATGGGTACAGAGTTACTCTATAAACTGACTATTTTAATATCTTATGTCACAAGTTAACTTGAATTGGCGTAATTACAATTCCTATGTCATTATATATATATCACATGATTAAGACATCCATATTACCACACAATTGAAGTTTAATGTGCACATTTATATGAATATAGAGAAAAGAAATATCGTAGTGAAGCTATCTCCACACATGTTTATAGCGCAATTTAAGTATATCACATGATTTAATCCAATCCTGCTATGTTTTCAATTGAAAGGCAGTTTAATGAATAATGTCATTATGTATTAGTTTTCAACATAAATTATTAATAATGTACAACGTACTGCAGGTTTAAAGAATATCATGTTTGCACAATGTTTGCTACCTACAGGTAGAGTCAACATTTTTTTATTTTTATAAAAAAAAACACAAATTAAAATTGGTGAATTTTGTTAAAAGTTTTTTAATTTTCTAAATTTCCAAATTGAATTCATCCTTTGGGAAAGCATTATTCAGTTTAACAAATCAGATTATTTGGGTCTGATGGTAGACACTAAGACAAAACCTGGGCCTAACAAAGGCTCAAGTTTCTGAAAGTTCAGGGTTTACTTTAAAAACCTCAGCTCTGGATTTTTCTTTTATCCTTCCCAGAGTTTATCTTCCAAACTTCTAATCTTTACACTGTTTGATATTATTGTAATCTATAACACTAAAGTTATAAACTAAAATGTTTAGTTTCTAAACATTTTGTAATAATTATATTCTGTTACACAATATATTTATATATCAGAAATCAATTATATATCCCCCCCCCTTTCCCGGGGTTTTTAAAAATGTAATTTAATTAGATGGGAGAAAAATTATTTTCCCATGTAAAAATTCCGTGTTCATCTCGTGAAATAAACTCAGGTTTTTACCGTGTAAAAACTCGGTCCTAGACTCGTGATCAAATCGTCGACAATAGTTGAAATGTCTGTGATGCGTTTTTCAGTCCAAACGGCATATATAAAAACTCAAACAATCCAAATGGGGTCACAATGGCAGTTTTACAAATATCTGCCCCACTCATAGGAACCTGATTGTAACCCTTCACTAGGTCGAGTTTGGAGAAAAACTTGCAACCTCTTAAATTGTTTGCAAAATCACAAATGTTAGGGAGAGGATACCGGTCTGGTCTGGTAACATTGTTTAAACGGCGGTAATCGCCGCAAGGACACCAGGATCCATCAGATTTTTGAACCAAGGGGTGAGGCCCAAGGACTATCAGACCCGCCGATTCCAATTTTTGGAACTCAGCTTTATCTAGTGCTAACTTAACTTGATCCAAACGGCAGGGGCGAGCATATAACGGTTGTCCTTCTGCTTCAATCACATGCTCCACGTTGTGCTCAGGGAGTTTACCAGGTGTTCGTGGATTCCAGGCTGCAAGAAACTCATCCAGGAGAGAGGCAACATCAGAGGCAAGTTTACACACAGAGGCAACGGAGGAATCAGCAGGCGAAAACCTAGGCGGTGCAAGAGGTTCAAAGGAGAGATTTTGAAGAACTTGGTGGTTCTTGGTGTCGACCTAGGAGGTCAAACTCTACCAGGAAGTCTGCTCCCAGGATTGGTTGGTCCACGTTGGCGAGGAGGAACTGGAACTGGAAATGGCGGGAACCAAACTGTAGAGGAATCAATCTGGAACCCCAAGCTTTAGTTGGTCGTCCATCTGGCGTTTCCCTGGAAACTGCAAGGAGGGCGGCAGTTGTTGGCTGCAGGACCAAAACGTTTGTGGAAATAACACTCTGAGGTTGATGGACCTGGGGTTTGACTACGGCAGTTCGGTGATGGGCTTCTGCGGTCCTGAGTTCTACCACATGATGTGGAAGATGATAAGGTCGTCGCTGTGGCTAGGAGGTGGTTGGTAGGTATAGCCTTCCTGGCGTCCCACAAACTATTGGCGTATAATGCCATTTCACTAGAGTTTTTGAATTCCCTGGAGACTAGATGGTCCCTCATCTGGACGGGTAACCTCTCCAGAAATACACCCTGGAACAGGCAACCTGGTTCCTCGTCTTCTGGGAGAAGGGCCAACATGGCGTCCATGAGAGCAGTAGGGCGTCGGTCTCCCAGCCCAGGGTGATGAATTAGTTTGGAAACCTTCTGCCAGCGTGATAAAGTATACGAGGAGACAAGCTTGGCCTTTAAATCCTCGTAAGGGGTTTCTGAGGAGGCAGCAGAACCCATGATCAGGCCGCGTACCAAGACCATAATCTTCTGGGGAAGTTTCTGTACGATGTGGCCGAATTTGGTTTTTGACTGTGTGATTTGGGCGTTTCTGAAGGCCACCTCTGCATGAAGGAACCACAGGTCGGGGTCCTCTGTCCAGAAATCCGGGAGCTTGACGGAGACTTTGGCGACGAACTCGGTTGGAGTTTCTTTTCGGTCGGTCATGATGTTCGGATGTATCACTTAATGTTCAAAGTTCAAGAAAATCAGGAAACTGGATAGCGTTTAACTGTATGTTAAAAGTCGGGGGTCACCAATATAAAGGACGTGAGTCAGACTAATGAAAACGCATAAATGACTTCCAGTATATATATTTCTTATAACTTATTACTAGAGGGTTCAGAATAATAGTTTATATCAAGATCACACGTGTAGATGTTTTTCAGTACTGAGCTGTGCCCCGTATCCGTTCTATCTCATCAGCCAGGCATCCTCTTCCACAACACTACAATATTAAAAAAATGTTATTTCATTTATTGCTGGTTAATTAACTAGCATTCTAATTTTTAAAAAGTCTACTTTTATTCCCTAGTATTGTTTTATTTTTAGCACAAATTTAAGAGGCTCAAAAAAAGTGTTATTTGGAGGTTTAATCATTAAGTACACTAGACTAGATAGGTTTCTGTCACAATACTCCTCTTTAAATATAAGTGTCTTGTGTTTCATGGTGAGAATGAACAAACAACATATATTCTAATAATCTTTTCATTTACAAATATTATATTAATTGTAGCTAGCATTGATTTTAATGATTTCAATTTATAATTACTTTCCTCTTCATATATTTATGCTATAAATTCCTAATATTGCAAACACTACATAGGTTGCATATATGAGACATAAAGATTGCAAAAAAAAAACATTCTTTCAACTGATTCAGGATAATCTAGATATATAAAGGGGTTCTAACAACCATTATTAAAAGATGTGGGGACACCGCCAGCATGCCCAAGTATTTGTATGGTTCAATATTTTTCTGGCGAATTTTAGAACTTCAACTCAACATTACTACAACTTTACTTCTCTCAAAAAATTTCTGAAGTGTCCAAGCCTTGTTTGACTTAAATAAAAGGTTTATGGTGTAAACTAAGTTTCCAATTGGAATTCTGTTGCGCGGAACTGCATGCAATGGTTGCTTCTGCTTGCGCCATTTTATCACGTGAAATTGTGCTATAATTGTGAAAAAGGAAGCAATTTAAGTCATGGAATTGTGTGCAAGGGTATTGCTTTTTAATTTAAAAATCAATAATTTTAACTGTCAGACTTACAAATTTATGCAGTAGATACAAGAATGTAAATATCTAGCAATTTAAAATAATACATTTTTTAGTTTAAATTGTAAGATTCGTTTAATCAAAATTAAATATTTTGCTACAGTGAGAACCAGAAAACTATGGAACAAAAAGACAAAATCACAGTGTATTTGATGTTGATACAAAGCATAAAACATTAATCATTAACTTATTGAATCATTTATTCAGATACATCCCAAGTAACAATTTTCTTTCCTTGGAATCTGCGGAAATTCCCAGGAATCTTTCCTTGGAATCCGCGGAAATTCCCTGGAATCTTTTACAGGAAAATCCGGTGAAAATGTTGACAGCTTTTCAAAGGAATTTCTCTAACCCATTCTGAGACACCAGGTACAAAGAATTTCTTGTAACCCATTTTGATGAAATTTTCATAACTCTATCCAAGGAATTTCTTGTAACCTATTCCAGGGAACTTTTTGTTACCAATTCTGCAGACAAACTGGAAAAAATGTCGACAAAATTTATGAAAATTCTCGGGAATTTTCAAAGAAAAGTTCTTCAGAACCAATTCCTGGAAAATTTCTAGGAACTATTCCCAAGATTTTCTCAAGAGTTCCTCAGGAATATCTTGAAATGTATTCAGCATATTCCTGAGTAAATTCTCTAACCAGGACTTAGGCCCAGTAGTAGTGAATAACTTAACAACTATATTGCCGGCCCTCCAACTTTTTAAAAATATAACCATCTTCTTTAGTCAGAATGTTATAGCTGATTTTGATCTTACTGAAGTTGTCATGTATTTTGTTTATTCAGACAACTGAATTGTCAAGAAAAAATTTTAAAAAATGAAAAAAAGTGAAAAAATATTTTTTTAAAAGATGGTGCTGAAGTAAATTATCATTTTATATCAATAAGGATGCAAAAAAAAAGATTTAGGAAAGAGGAAAACCTAAGAGACACCTATTGGAGAAAAACAAAACTTCAAAGTTCTGTGATGAAGTCCTGAGAATTTCTCAGGAATTTCCGGAGAAAAATTCTAGAGAAATTCTCAGGAATTTCTCAAAACTTATTTTCTTATTTTATTCCCCTAAAAATCCGTAAACTTGGTGACCAAGTCCTAAGAAATTCTCAGGAAATTTCCGGAGAAGCATTCAGGAGAATTTCTTAGGAACTTCTTGGGGTGAAATTTCAAAGAAATTCCCAGGAATATCTCGAAATTAATTCTCTTATTAAATTCCCCTAAAAATCCATAAACTTGGTGACCAAGCACTGATAATTTCTCAGGAATTTTCCAGAGAAGTAATCAAGAGATTTTCTCAGGATTTTCTTGGGATGAAATTGCGAAGAAATTCCCAGGAATTTCTCAAAACTAATTCTCTCAATTAATTCCCCTAAATATCCATAAACATGGTGACCAAGTCCCAAGAATTTCTCAGGAATTTCCGGAGAAGTATTCCAGAGTAATTCTGAGGAATTTCATGGGAAGAACTTCTAAAGAATTTCTCAGGAATTTCTCAAAACTGTGATCCATCAAAAATCTCTAATCTTGGGGACCAATTCTGGGGAATTTCTCGAGAATTTCCAAGGAATCAGTTACAGGAAATGATTCTCAAGAAATTCCTTGGAAATTCTTCAAAGAAAGTCACCACGGTTGGAGAATCTGGGGAAATTCCTCACTTTTGTTACTTGGGATGGGTCTGCTTGAGTCTAAACTGTCATCTTCCTATGCAGCTCAGTTTATTGTATGTACCAAAGTTTAAATTGAACTTTTTTTTTGTTGAAAGGAATTTCGCAATAATTAATTGCTTTTATTGTGTGCCATAAGGTTTAAATTGAGTATTATTATAAAATTGAAAGACAAGCACGAGAAAATTGGATGAAATTACACATAAGGGCAAGCAATTTTGTGTAAGTAAAATCCACTTGCGTTGAAAACTCTAGTGTAAACTCAATATTGTTGACCCAACCCTGATACCTCATTTTTTTTTTGGGGGGGGGGGGGTCCACCCCATCAGAATATCTCTTGCAATAAAAAAATTTAAAAAAGAGACTGTCAGAGGTATTATATAAAATAAGATAAGATATATTTATTGCTAACTATAAATAAAACAATTTTTATGTTTGGGATGTATAAGACTAAGCATGTACAAAAATCTAACCAATATTATAATAACTTTTTTGCAAGAAAGCAAAGAAGTTTACTACACTTTGTGATGTAGGAGTAAAATAGCATTTTAAAAAAAATGTTGATCATGCCTAACGAGGCAGCTATATTAAGTGGAAGATTATTCCACATCTGAAGAAGTCCATAAAAGGTATGATATTCAATGTCAATTTAAAAATTGAAATAGAATGCATTGCACAGTAATAGGTGCAGTAGAAACTTTTTTCCAGGTCCATTCCGCATAACATAATTGTTTCGTATTCACAAAAATTCCACTAGAACTAGATCATGACAAATAATTTGTAATTTTATTTATACTGCCACATTCTGATTTTTTAATATGCATATTTGTCATTTGATTATTTGCTAGGGTTTCCATTTTTCCGGAAAAAAATTTCCATTTTGGAAATTGAATGATCTGGAAATTTGTTGCGTAAACCTGAATTCCGGGATAATTCAGGTATAAATGGAAACTGGAAATTTTCCGGTTTACGTCACGTAAACTGGAAAAATTTCCGTTTTACGGAATGGAAACCGTAAAATTTCCAGTTTCCATTTCGTAAACCGGAAAAAAGTTTTCCGGAACCTTTTCCATAATGGAAATGGAAAAAATTTCCGGATCATTTCCGTACGTAAACCGTAACCCGGAATTCCGGTGGAAACCCTATTATTTGCCCAACTGTTTTGGAAAATGTTATACAATATAACTTAATTGTGCCACTCAATATGTCAATTGTCAATTTGTATCATTATTCCTAATGCTCATTAGTTTTCTCCAAATGTATGATTCGTTATACTTTGCATTCCTTTATTTGCACATCACACATGGAATTTACCAAAATAGATAGTGTTTTACTGTCCATTTTAATTGCAAATTATTTCAAAAATGAAATGCTTTAATTTAAGTGAACAATAAGGTAAGCCATACAAATAGGTGGAGCAGCATCAGGTTTATGTTTTTTGTTTATTTTGTTAGTTTGATTAAGTAAAATTATTTAGAATTAAATAAAGGTGTAACACATTGATTGTTATAGACTGGATTTAACGTCCAATTGCACTCCAGCCTGTAAGCTCAACATTAGTTAAAGCTTTTCCATCTAAAGTAACAGTTCCATCAGCAGATGCTTTTAGTTCAGCAGTAGCATCTCCATTTTCATTAGATAAAGACACTGTTTCGCCTTTTAGGGCATTTTTGTATTGTTCCACTGATACAGAGAATCCATTGAGTGTCACAGGAGAAGTATTATCACTACCTTTCCTGACATGAAATGTATTTCCACCTAATTCTAATTTGACACTGGCACAAGGTGTAACTTCCTCAATCCATTGAGGAGTACTGAAGTCCATAGAACCCATATCTAAATTATTGCATTACGTATTAGGCTTATGACTTGTTTCATATACACTAGAGCTGAGATTTTGAAAGCTAAAACCCCAGTTAAACCCAATCTTTGCTTTAACTTAGACTCAAATAAAAATTGAGTCTAGACTTGGGTTTTGGGTGGCCTTGGTATTAGTAAAAGCAAACTTTGTTAACCCTATCCCCGCTGGGGTACTTAAAAACCAGGATACGCTGGGGGGGGGGGGTAAATTTCACCCCCCCTCTAAATCCCATGTTTTATGTCCAAATATGACAAATGATACATCATTAGAAAGCTCTTGTGCTCTACTTTTAGAATCTGCAAAAAAATTTGCAAATTTGCGAAAATTGAATTTTTAACGCAAAATCGAGTTTTATAGTAAAAATGTTTGCAAAATAAAATTTGTCCAAAAAATGACAAATTATACATTTTTGAAAAGCCCTTGACCATGCCATTTCAAATATGCAAAAATTTTTGCAAAATTTTAAATAACCTGATTTTTAATCAAGAAAAACTAAAAATGTGCAAATTTCCTTTGACAGGTTGTTTGCAAAAAATTTGCAACTTTTTTTCTCGCAAAACTTGTGCAATCCGTTTCCTTATGTCATAGGCTTTCCAAAAAGCTAAATTTTATCAAAATCTGACAAGTGAAAATGGGTCAAAACAAAGATTTAGTTTGCTACAGGCAAAAGCAGTCATTCAGGCAGTGTGCCAGAGGACTCAGGCAGTTAGTATTAAAGCCCGGTTTTAGGCCTAAAGGGAGGGCTTTGGGTATGTAAGAAAAGTCAGAAAATTTCAACAGCCTCAGACCAATACTTTTTGAGTTATGTAAAAAAAACTACAGGGGGGGGGGTCAAATTGACCCCCCCCCCCCAGCGGGAATAGGGTTACAAATCTTGGGATCAATTTTTAGTGTAAAATTGTATCAAAGGTATTAATCATAGGTACTAGATAAACTATGCATTGAATCTATATAAAGTCTGTATACAGGGACCCGATCTGTCTGCTAGGGAGAAAACTTTCTAAGGAGTTTATAATTGGTTGAATTAGAACCAATTAGAAGCCATCCTGTCTTACACTTGAGTCTCTGAATAAGATGGGATTTACTTGGATTTAAGCTTTTAAAATCTCAGCTCTGATCTGGAGTCCAGCTGTTAAATTAACAGGTGTGTAAAAGTGTAAAATTAACAACAACTTTGCAGGAATATAAGACAACCATCTATGGCTGTTCTTGCAGGTGAAAGATTTTATTGTAAACAAATGAGAAAGTTATGAACTTAAAAAATTAAGTCATAATCAAGTTTGCCTAAATATTAAATAAAATCTAAATTATTACAAAAAAGTATAAAGATAACAAGGTTAGTCATGTTCAATAAATTAATTAGTTTTTCTTTAAATGAATTCTGTGAAACTTTTACTTTTTAAAACTATGCAAAGTTAGCAAAATATGTGGACAAACTTACAAATAAAATTATTATTTTTAGTTTGTTTTTGCATATGTCTTCTATTTGGGATAAAATTTTGCATAGTGCAATTTCCTTCCAAATGTTTATAAAAAACTATTGTAAAATTTTTCATTTCATTTAAAAAAAATCAGTTTTTAAAGATAACCAAAAGTTGAGACACTTGATTTATTCTGTTTAATAGATATGAGATAATTGACCAACTGACTTACCTCCTTGGCAAGAGTGGGACTTTCCATCTGAAATATAATCAAATTGTTTAATGCCTAAACTTTTGATTTAAAGATTATTTATTTCATTTAATGAACTTCTTACTTTCATCTACCCACATGGCATAGTCATCACCAGCTACAGAGGGGTTTGTGTCTATCACTAAGATTATTATTATTACTTAACAGAAATTAATTCACAATCAACAAGTGGACTTGCAAAGTAAACATATTATTTAATTTGTTTTTTAAATGCTGGTTTAATCTGCAAAATAGAAAAGATGAAAGAAATTTTCTATTTTTAACTGATAAGTTCAGTTCAGATTTTAAAGAAATAAAACTGAATGAATTATAAATGGTTGTGAGACTGGAATTCTTATTAAAAGAGTGGGCAAAACTTCCTGATAGAAAATTTAAAAAAAAATTCTCAAAATAAAAAACCTGGATCTATTTCATCACCAGCTTTTGAGGGGTTTGTGTCTCCAACTAAAATTTTGAAGATTAATTATTACAACTTTAATTAAATCCTTGAGATCCCAACTGAAATTTACAACAACTAGGCTTTTAGGGTGCTTCACACACATATTCTAATTCAATTGTGAACATGTTCTCATTGCAAACAATGAAAATCAAAGAAGAAAAAAAATTGGCAGATTTTAACAAAAAAAATCATGAATTTTCAAGATTTAATAAAATTTTATAAACATAAAAACTTTTAAGCACAATTTTTTCAAATTTTAATTATTCATAAACCTTCCCTGGGGTCACATGATGACCTACAAAAATTTGAGGCCCAACCAGTTTAGCTGTTTGAACATTTATTTGATGCAAATTTATATATGGATAAAAGGACTAATTAAATTTTCTAATTCATTTATAACTTCATATATGTGAATTCACTAAGTGTTTGGATAAAAAATTAAAATGTAAATGCATTAAAGATGAAAATGAGGATATCTATAAAAAGAGTGGACAATAATTGCTGAACATCTAGAAAATTACAAAGCCTGCATCTACTGTATATTTTATATTTTATCAATTTCTAACCTTCATCTATCTGTGTGGAATAGTCACCAGCGTTTACCACTAAGATTTTAGTTTTGATTTAGATTTAATAGAATTTAAAACAATTTTATTTTGAACCAACAAGTGGACTTTAACATTTACCATATTATTTAATTTGTTAATTAAGAAAGTATCTGTTTCTAACTGATATGTTTAGTTCAGATTATAAACAATAAACGAATTTAAAAATCAAATGGGGACCCAAATGCTTATTACAAGAATGGATAATATATGCTGAAAGAAAATTGAAGAAAAATCTAGAGAAATAATAAACCTGGATCTACTGCATTTGGTAGGGGTTCTATAGGTTCATCTGCTGTTTCAATAAGATATGTTTTTGGTAAAGTCTCCTATGAATATTCAAACTTTGAAACTTAATGCTGGAACATTTCCAATCGTGAATATTTACCTGAAACAGAAGTAAAAGACAAAATACAAGATTTAACATATTTTAAGATGAAACTGAGGTACAATTAAATCTAAATTGACTTTATAAGTCGGTATCAAATATAATCAAATATCAAAGAAACTTTAAGCATGCCATAAAATTCACTAATTAAATATAAACAAGAACAATTTATTTATCACAGTTTTAAATTCACTGAACTGTCCAATATACTGATTTTCTATTAGGGGTTTACCATGTTTAATTGTGAGGGAGTGACAGCAATTTTAAAAAATTTCTAAAATATTTTAATAGGACCACTATTAGATTTCAACAGGAATTTGGGAAATTTCAGGAGTTTCCAAAATGCCTGAGTATCTGGGATATTTCCCATGGTTGCCTTAGATTCCTGAAACTCCTGATGGAATCTGATAGTGGTACGTGTATTTGAAATATTTTATAAAGGAATTGAGTCTTTGCCAAAAACTCTGCTGTTCTACACCATATTAGATTCCAATGTCATAGAGATTAAATATTTCAAACTATGAATTCTGTTAGATCAATTGATATAAGTTTGAAATATCAAAAATGTACAACATTGGCTTCCAAAGCTATAGGGATTATAAATTCAGAGTTTGTGGCAAAGACACAATTCCTTTCCCAAATACCTGGGTATCTGGGAAATTTCCCAAATGCCTAGGTTTTAGGAAAATTCCCCAAATATCCAGCCACTTGAGAATTTTCCAAAATCTTAAAATGTACTAAACTCAAATTCCTGGAAATTTTGGGAATATCCCAAATGCCAGGGTATCTGCAGAAATTCCCAAATGTCTAGGTTTTTGGGAAAATCCCCAAATATCCAGTCATTTGAAAAACTTCCAAATTCTTAAAAAAAATACCACCCTCAAATCCCTATATAAATTTGGGAAATTTCTAAAATTTCCCAAATGCCTGGGTTTTTTAGAAATTCCCCAAATATCCAGTCATTTGAGATATTTTCAAAATATTGAAAATATACCATTTTCAAAATATTGAAAATATACCACCCACAAATTCTTACAGGAATTTTAGAAATTTTGGGAATTTATACCCAAATTCCCATATGAATCTGATTGTTGTGTATTTTAAATATTTAAGAAATTTCCCAGATGCCTGGGTATCTGGGAAATTTCCCAAATGCCTGGGTATCTGGGTATTTGGGAAATTTTGGGAATCTTCAAATGTCTAGGTATCTGTATTAATTTCCCAATGCCTAGGTTTTTGGGAAATTTTCAAAATATCCAGTCATTTGAGAAATTTCCAAATTCTTTTAAAAATACCACCCTAATAGAAATTTCCCAAATGTCTAGGTTTTTGAAAAAATTTCCCAAATATCCAGGCATTTGAGAAATTTCCAAAATATTAAAATACAACTTCAAAATTCATTTAGAAATTTTGGAAAATTTTGGGAATTGCCCAAATACCTGGGTATTTAGAAAAACTTCCAGGATTCTCAAAATGTTTGTGGGAATCTATTGGTGTGGTATTTTGAATATTTTAGAAATTTCCCAAATTCCTGATTATCTGGGAAATTAATTACCCAAATGTGTAGGTTTTTGGGAAATTCCCCAATTGTCCAGTCATTGGAGAAAATTCCAAAATCTTCAAAAAATTTTGGGAAATTCAGCAGTCATTTTTATTTTCAGTGATTTATTTTGTAAGTTATGAGAAGGGGTTTTTATTGAATAGAGGATTATACTCAAAAACGGGAAAGTGAGTTTTGATGCGATAAAAAATTCATTTTTCGCAAATTTGCAAATTTTTTTGCAGATTCTAAAAGTAGAGCACAAGAGCTTTCTAATGATGTATCATTTGTCATATTTGGACATAAAACATGGGATTTAGAGGGGGGGGTCGAATTGACCCCCCCCCCAGCGTATCCTGGTTTTCAAGTACCCCAGCGGGGATAGGGTTAAAAACACAACAATGATTCAAATTTAGGATATGTTCAGTCAAAACATGCAGAATCCAGGGAAAAGATCAAAATCCTTTTATAATTTTTATTTCAGAAAAAAAAGATTAAAATTGGGAATTGTTGCTTTATAAATTGTTGGTTTTATTTTATTTTATCAACTTCTCTTGACTGGCTGGGATACTAAAATGAGTCTTTTAATTTCAATATTAGAAATGGGCCAAGTGTTAGTTTTATGACTAATGTCTCCTGCTATATGAGCAAACTTTACACTCAATTTGTGTAAATAATTTACCTCAATAACTGCTAACAGATAAGTTATAATGTCAAACACTGACTGTGAAATATAATGCTAATATTTGACTATTATAATCTACTTCAAGGCTTTTTCCCTAGTCATTAAAGCTTTGTTTATGCAGGTAGGTTAGTTTCTATTTTAAAGTTAAAAATTTAAGTGAACTAAATTTACAGGCATCCACTTTCCTCATTCCCCATTCCAAATCTATGAAATCAGTGAGTTTGATATTGTTCATTATTAAACCCCAATACCCACAATATTTCTTATGTACAATTTTTTTTTCATGAAACAAAATATTTGAATTATTTAGTCTTAATGTAAGAACAACCCTAAATAATGCCACATTTTATAAAATTAACTAGAATTTGCCAAATAATATACAGTATTGTTGTAAATTTTAAAATTAATTGCATGCATAAAAACAATGGTTAAGAGTTTTTCCAAAATTTATAATTTTAATTTTTTAAACTTTGCAAAACTTTTCCTTCACAACTGGGTTAATTAAAATAATTAGTGTATTGTTCAAAAGTTATATTCCAGAAGAAAGATGAGATTTTCAAATCAATTAAATTAAAAGTATAAAATATTAGTTATAAGTATGGAAAAAGGTAAGTAATTAAGCTTGGTTTGGCTACATTAGTTAATTTTAAATTTTTTAAAACTCTGTCAGTTTATCTACTTGACCAAACTAAAGTTTAAGACGGACCTCATAAAAGCATGCAATGTTCAATATTTTGTTTCACAAAAAGAAAAAAAAAATGACTTACATAATTGAAATACAAGTTTAGAATTGAACATATCTCTCATTGACTTATTAAACATTGTTTCACAAAGAGCATGAAAATTAAAGATTGAAGAGAAATTTTAACTCTAAATCTTTATTTTTATTATATATTGTAGTGGATCTATTTAAAGCTATTTAAAACGTAAAACCATTTTTAGAGAATTTGACAAGTGCTGCATTAGTTAAAGCTTTTCCGTCTAATGTAAGAGTTCCATCATCAGTAGTTTTTAACTCAACAGTTTTTCCATCTTCATTTTCTAGTTCCACTGTTTCTCCATCCAGTGCTTGTTGATATTCTTCTACTGTTATGGGGTATCTATTGATTTTTACAGGTGAACTCTTTTCTTCATCTTTTGACACATAAAACTCATTTTCACCCAATTGAAAAGTGACACTAGCACATGGAGTAACTTTTTCTATCCATTCAGGTGTACTGAAGTTAAAAGAACCCATATCTAAATCATCCCATATGAAAAATCAAAGTTCAAAACTTAAATTACTAAAAATACAACTTTGTCATAACTTTTTTCTGATTATACAGTTTAGCTGAGGCCCTTGCTGAAAAACTTTTATATCAGCTGTAAGCAAACACGCAATTTAACAGTGTCTAAGCTGAACATTTATTGCTAGAGCATTTGATGAACTAAAGATGTACTAAGTTCAAACACACAAATAACAAATAAAGAAATTTTTATATTATAAAATGTTGAGGTTTCAAAGAAGTGTGTCATTAATATGATTCATATTTTAGAAAAAAACCTTTACAATAAAATGTTTAATGTTGTTTGATGAAAATTACTGTCAGTTAGTCAAATATAAGGAAGGCTTACGTCCAACACAAGAAGGAATAGATTGTCCACCTAAAATAATAAATCAAATTTTTATAAATAAGAATCATTAATCAGAGCTGGGAACTTTAGAATGGGATACCATTAGTCCTGACTGCTTAATCCGAATATCCAATGTGGCCACTTTTGATTTCTTGCTTAATCCACTCTTTTTTGGAAAAAGTACAGAAAAATCAAAAGCTGGTTCTTTAAAATTAAGAGTCTTTCCCGTTTCTGTATATTAGTCTGAAATGGGGCATAAAATTTCAAACTTATCAGCTTCTGATACACGACTTTGATTGGTTGAATTTTATACACTTTTCAGGTTACAGGTACAAGATTAAGTTAGTCTCGCGATTAAGAAAAAGAGAGGATGAAGCATTAATCTTGATATCCACCATTCTAAAGTTCCAAGCTCAGGAGCAAGGCAATTGAAGACTTTTTGTTTATAGATATATGGAATTGAAAAGTGGTTTAGTTTTGCTTGAATGTTAAAGTGATATTGAATTCTACCCATTCAATATTGTTCCGTAAAGCTATGAAGCTCATTTTGTTACCTTCATCAAGCACTTGTGCATAGTCTCTACCATTTTGTGGGGGTTTTGCATAACCTAATAAAAAACAAATTTTATAAATTTATATATAAGGTATTTTTTATCAGATTAATACCAGGGGTTTCTTTTGCTGCAATTGGTTTGGCCACAATAAGATCATCTGCAGTTTCAATCAGATATGTTTTTGAATAAACATCCTGAAAAATTACAAGCTAAATTCCAGGGAAATTGGGATGCATGATGATTTTGACCCAACTGAGTAGAACCTGAATGTCATAGAATGTCAAATAACATGTATAATGTTAAAGTCTTGCAACAATAGCCATCATTCAAATAAAAATCTAAAGCAGAGATTTTCACTATACAGTAAAAAGATCTTTGTGCAATTTTTGTTCAGTGTTTCTGCGTTCAGTGTTGTTGTCAAGGTTGCATAGAATTTTGTGAACATTTACTTCTGCTGGGAACCCTAGTTAAATAGCAAGTAATATGCAATAATGTTAATTTTAAGTAAGCTAACATTTACCTGAAATAGGAACAAGAGGCAAACTGCATGAATCATGTTGATTTAGTAAACTGAGATATAAATACAATTTAATTAATGTTCACAGTTTAGTATTGTTATAAACTTGTATTAATAATAATAATAAAACATCAAAGAAGAAATATTAAAGCTTGATTAATTGTTTATAATAACTTTATTTTCTGAATTCAAGGGAGGAACATTGTTTTCTTGGTTTTTGGATTTGTCAAATCCATTTAAGATTTATACAATATGTCTCAAAATTAAAACTTCTTTTAAATAGTTTCAGACTGAACATAAAGGCCCTACACTATTTTAAATTGCCGTAGCACCAGTCAGATGAGACTGGAGCATGCACATTGGGAATGGTGCAATAGAGAGTAGCTATGGTGCTTCTTAGTTCCATCAGGTCATTTCTTCATGAGATTTTACTTGTGCTACTCAGGGTAATACACATCACATTTTATCACATGGTTAACTTCAGAGAAATAATACTAAAATGGGTAGCACAGGCTATATACTATATAGGTTTTTCTAAATCATATCCATCAAACTGATTTTGAATGTATAATTCTGAGATGAGAGTTAGCTTTATAATGTGGGGTTAAATTACAGCTAAAAAAACTTATGATTTATGTGGCACAACTTAGGATATATGTTATTGAATTCTTTAATGTATTTATCCCTATGATAAATTTCAAATTTTAATATTTACATTTAAATTTTAGTTGAAAACAATATACTGATTTGGGAAATTCAGATACCTTGAAGTGAAAAAGTGAACTAAAGCCAGCCAGAGAATATAGAAAACCTTTCATTTTGAAATTTCAATCCAGCATGTTGTAACATAGTAAGAAAAAATTAAATAATTGTCTTTGCCAATTCTTTTACGAATCCAAGCATAGTGTTAACCCAAATCTGATTAATCAAATTTTAATTTTTTTTCAAAGTAGCACTCTTAATTTGATTTAAAAATGTAATGCATCTGTAAAGCTTTCTAAAATAGTTCTGGTACTCATCATAAGGTATGTAGATAAATTTAGATTTTTAGTCAAAATTGTATTGTACTATAACTGTCTTGTATTTAACATATGGGTTTTCAACATGAATTGAGCAATCTGAATGTGTTGATAGATACTTCCACCCTAAATAGCTTGTAGCAGACAACTCATATTTGTACCTCCATGATACCTTTAAAAAGAGACATATACACACTACAGCATATTATTTGCTTTCTATATTCCTTTGTCCCGGCTGTTCCATCTAGTTTTTCTTAAGAAATTGCATAATTTTTTAAATGTGTTGGATTTGTAAATCTAATTTAAAACTGTTCATAAACAGATACAACAAATGCTTTACACATTCTTATGGTCTTTTAAGGATTTTAAAATTCAACCTTGTTTCCAACACATGGCAGCAGGTGAGGAGAAAGTAATATAGAAAGTAAATTATATGCTGTATTCGCAAAAATGTATGTTCAGATTACTTGATCTATGGTTGTCAAACAATTCTATGCAATTCATAAAAAATATATTTAAACCAGTGCAGTGGATAGCCATTTATAGCTATTTTCATCTCTCCCTGTTCTAAGTGGAATATGTAAATAAGAAATTTACCATAGATCTCTGAGAATGTCAAGCAGTGCAATATTGTCAAGCTAGATCTGTCAATTTTTTGAGAAAGTGACCATGGGAGCCAATAAAAAAGGTCTCTCTTTTGTTAAAATTCCGTTAAAAAAAAAAGAAATCTGTAACATTATCATCATATATTTTTATAAATAATCAAAATAAGCAATATAGTAACTTAGAATTAATTCCATATTTCTCATTTTTCTATTTAACAACATTTTGTCTTATGATATCCAGCAATGTTGCTTAAGAACAGAATAAAGATTTGGTGTTTTGATCCTCATCCATCTATTTATATGATATAACAAGACATTCGTATATATATGTTGCCTAAAGACAACCAAATAGCTGGAACAATTAGGGTGAAATTTTTTGTGGACACTCATGGGTGGCCAGGGGGTGTTATAAGCTAAACAAAATTAATTTTCTTTTTTAAATTTTTTTCACTCACAAAGCTCTCTATATAATAAAACGAGACATTCATATATAAAAATTTTGCCTATAGACGGCCAAGTGGCAAGTGGCTGTACCAATTGGGCTGAAATTTTTAGTGGACACTCAGGGGTGGCCAGGGGGTGTTATAGGCTAAAAAAATTCAACATTTTTTTTTCATAAATATTTTTTTTTTATATGTTTTTTTCCATGGTCAATGCGAGGTCCTTCAGCTAGTTAATATAATTCTACAAAATTGCTATAACACTCATAAAACCTTACTCAGATAAAATGTAATCTCTTTACATGCTATATTCATATCATGAAAATTTGATCAATATTTAAATATTTGGTTCCTTGAAATAAATTTATGCATAAGAAGCACTATTAGAAAAACCTCATTAAAAAGAAATTTTGGTTCAAACTTTGTTTTGGTCAGTTTTGAAAGATTTTAGTATGGTATTTAGAATACCACATGCATACATATATATATAATATTCACCCAGTCAAAATTGAATTTTTATTTACTTGACATCATTTACACAATTTTCTAAAGAACAAATGGCATTGCACTTTTTACTGATTGCTCCACATTGGTAATAGGATCTCCGTCGAGGGTAATAGTTCCAGCAGTAAGTTTTAGCTCAACAGAATCTCCATTATCATTCTTTAGATCAATTATTTCTCCAGCCAATGCTTGTTGATATTCTTCAACTGACACAGTATATCCATTGATCTTCACAGGAGATGTCTCATCTTTGCCTTTTGTCACAAGAAATGACTTCTCGCCCAGGAGAATTCTAACGTTAGCACAAGGTGTTACTTTTTCTATCCATGTAGAAAATCTAAAGTCTGTTGTACCCATATCTAGATTATTAGCAGTAAGTAAAGAAACTAATTTGAGTAATTTGTATTTTGTCAGAAACTCTGGATATTTGTGGGAGTCACTCAGCCCTATCCCTGCTGGGGTACTTGAAAACCAGGATACACTGGAGGGAGGGCAATTTGACGCCCCCCCCCCCCCCTCCTTTAAATCCAATTTTTGGTGTCCAAACATGACAAATTTTACATCATTAGAAGGCTATTATGCTTTACTTTTAGAATCGGCAAAAAAAAAATGCAAATTTCCCCCAAAAAAATTTTAATCCAATTAGTATAAAATCTTGATTTTAGATCTAAAGGGAGGGCTATGGGTTTTTAGGAAAAATCAGAAAATTTCAACAGGTTCAGACTGATACTTTTTGAGTTTTGTAAAAAAAAAACTACAGGGGGGGGAGGTTAAATTTACCAGCAGGAATAGGGTTAACATAGATGGAAAGTTAAAAAAGGTATATTAAGAAATCTGAATTGCAAGAGGTTGTTCAACTATGAAGAGGCAGTTAAACTGCAGATCTATTATGATTTATAGCTGGTTCAACTTGATGTTTTAAAATTTTTGAACTGTCCTTGTGACTAGGAGCTGGGATCTGTTTCAACCAATGAGATGTATTTATGGCTCTCTGACTGGTTGGAATCATCAGCTGACTTCAAATTAGAATTGTTCAAATTTTAAACTTTGAATGGGGGAATTAGGATTTGAGACAGTAAGCACCCCCCTTTGGTAGTTCAGCAACCTTTCTCCAATTAATTGAATTGAAACCATGTTTCTTGAATGTGGTAAAACCCTAAATCATGTTTAAATTTTATACAATTTTAAAAGAAATTCATACATTTCCAATGAGACATAAAATCACCTTTTTGTAAACATGCATACTAGTATTTGTAATTTATATTTTAATTCTAAAATGACATTGTACCTCCAAAACAAGCCTGCCCTTTTTCATCTGAAATAAAATGAAAAATCATAAGATTTATATGAATATTATCCAATTAAGCTTTATTAGTGTTCACCTTCCTCTACTAGGTCCATGTAGTCTTGGCCATCCCCTGAGGGTTTAGTGAAGACTACTATAAATACAAAATATAAATTATTTAACCTCTTCAAACCTTAAAGAAACTTCTCTACTTCAATAAGTCTAAGATATAACAGAACAAAGACAAAAGCACATTCTATAAAGTTTTATCAAGTTATTTTTATGTTGAGGCAAATAAGTCACATTTTAGAATTAAAAAAACCTTCTATATTTTGGGGATTTTCATTAAAAAAATTGCACATTTACTTTGAGCTTAAATAAAATAAAATTATGTAACGAATGGTCTTGTGTTATCATTTGGAGAAAATATATGTTTTGTTGTGACTTTTTACTTTTTTGTTTGTTTTTGATAAAAATATACATTTTTTTAATTAAAAAATTTAAATTTAAGCCTTAAACAAAAAAAAAAAAATCCCATCAAGTCAATAATTTTTCAAATGATAACAGAGTGTTAAAAAAAACCTGATTTATTTTTCGGAATTGAAGAGGGTGTAAGAGATGCATCTTCTGTTTCAATTATGAATATTTTTGATGAGGTTCCCTATTAATGAAAATTTAAATGTTAAATAAGAAGAAATATGAGAAAAAACCCTGCCTGAAATAGGAATACAAGACAGAGTGCACAGCTTATCATGATTCAAGAAACTAAGTTTTAAACAACTTTATTTTATTTACAGCTTGCTATAAAATTATAATATTAGTACTTATAACTAAACATCAATGGAACAGTAGGGCTGGGTAAAATTCTTTAAACAAATGAAAGATTTTAAAGTTAACAAAGGCAATAAAAGAACCACTAACTGTTGGTTAACACATCAGAATGAATGGCAACCTTTACAAAATTCCAGGAGCAGAAATCAATTCAAATGCCTAAACTGGCCTGACTACATTTTATTTAATTTAGGATCATAAAACTTATATGGTTTGGAAGAACACATTTCTGTGAAGGAACAACGTTAATTCTTAAAAACAAACAGTTACCTGACTGTGTTAAACATTAACCTAACTAACTGAAAACAAATGGATAAAAATGTCCAGCTCTAGGATTAGTAGGTAACAAGCTAATTTATATTTGGTAAATAGTTAAGCCTTTTCCAAAAATTTTATTTATAATAGTATTGATTACCTTATTAAAATTTAAACACCAGACAACAACAGGTTTTACAGTCTGTTGGACTGACTATAGAAGAAGGAGGGTGTTTGGGGGGAAACATACAGCAGTTTAAGATCCAGACTGGCTTGTGGCCATGGAGGAAGTAACAAACAGAAGTTTCTTCCATACCTATCCATGAACATACAATAGTAAATAGTAAATCCATGAAACAGCTTTAGATAAATTTAAAATGTACAGATAGATACTTTAAAGATTTGTGTCAGTTCTGAAAATTCTGATTTACAATTTAATGATTAAAACAAGCTTTTTAATGGTTACAACTATTAAAGAAGCAAATATTTTCTTGGAAAATCTCCCCCCCCCCTGCATGCACCCTTGCTTACATTATATTAGGAATTGGTAAATTGGAATGTTATAACTGAGGAAAATCAATAATTTTAGCTAATAATACCTTTAAGGGTAAAAATCTTGATGTCCAATTTATGATCTTGCATCCCCCCACCTAACCCCAACCCCCTACCCTTCACACATCAGTCCTCCCCAAAGAAGTAGGGATAAAGAAGGTTAATTTTCGTTAAGTGTTTAAAAAGTTGGAGTTTGTGGCAAAAACTCAGATCTTTTCCTATTATCTCATGATTTGTTTTATGATTATGTATAAAATTCAAAACATTTTCCAAATTTTAAACATTAAATATTCCATGTAGCTTTTTTCTGCCAATTACTCGTTTCAGGTTCATTAATTTAGAATTGTTCCAATATTGTATATTCTGCAAACAAAAAATCCATTACTAAAAAATCAAACAGTGGCTTGGTTAAAAATCTAAAATGAAGAACTCCAGAAATATTGTATATGGTTCTAGTGTAAATCTAGCTCCAAAGACAAGTTTGACAAGTTTATATCTCCTTAACATGTTTCTACTTTGTAAAAAATAAATGTTTTAGAATTAAAGTGTTATAATCATATAATTTAGTAGCTGTAGTGCTCAGCATTGCCCACAGAATTTAAAAAAGATTGAATTTAAAAAAAATAAAAAATTCTGCCAATTCGGTCCATCCTTAGCTAACATATATTTATATATATTATATAGACTAGCTGAAGTGCCCAGGGTTGCCAGTGGAATTGAAATAATAATAATAGAATTTTGAAAACAAAATTTTTTTTTGCATATTTTGGGGTCCCTTACAAAAATTCACCTAATTTGGTCCAGCCATTTGGCTAGCTATAGCTAACATATATACATATATATATACATACATGAGCAAAGAGCTTTATCAAATAGATTATCATTTATGACAAAAAAAGAAATAAATTATTTTTTTCTAAATCACATCTTTTAATCAAATAAACATTTAGTGAATCATATCATAATTATTTCTTATTTTCTTTTATACAATTGAAAAATTCATTCTTTCATCAACAGTCTTCGGGTTTTTAAGGTAACTTCTTTTATCTTTTAAAGGAATAATTTAAAATAATTTTATTTCAATCATATAATAATAATGTTTCTTAGATAGTCATTGTCATACTAGACCCAACATTCAGTGATTTTCCATCAATTGTAACATTTCCATCCTTTACAACTAATTCAGCAGTTTGGCCATCAGCACTAAGTGTAACCTTTTCCCCATCAAGAGCTTTTTGGTACTCAGCCGTTGTAATTGGAAATCCATTGATCTTGACTGGGGTTTTATCTTTCCCTCGTGATATTGTAAACATGTCATCTTCCATTTTGATCATTGCTTCAGTGCAGGGTTTTACACTTTTTATCCAATCAGCGCTTAAAAAGTCTTTTGTGTTCAGTCCTTGACATAAAATTTTTACATTTTCATTAAAATTTTTATATTTTTTAATTAAATTGAATCAATTACTGTGTAAATTGTGTTTCAAGTACTTTTTTTTGGTTTCAATTAGTTTGAATAATAGGTTATGCCAAATTGAAAAAGTACTACCTCCCATAGTATGATCACATTGCAAAGTATCCTTCTCTTCAACTAAAATTGATATTTCATAAATCAAATTCTAATCTGCAGAATACAAATAAAGCATAATTTAAATGGCATTACCTTTCGCGTTTTCATAGTCTGTACTTTCTTCAGTTTTATTACTTGTTACATAACCTTAGATTGGCAAAAAAATAACACAATAAAAGATTTTTCAATGTTTATAAACAATGGAGGTAAATTCGTTTTTTTTTGGCTCAAATTTGATCTGTTTACTTTTAAAATTCTATGATTTTGGAATTTTTTTTATAAATTATATATTTTTTCTAATTTTCAGTGTTACTCAACCAAAACTAAATTGTGTATAAACTTAGTCTTTGTGACTCCCGGGTGACCCATTGGTTTATTAAAAAAATCAGCCAATTTGGTCCAGTCATTTGGCCAGCTATTGCAAAGATATATATTTGTGCGAAGACCTTAATTGTATCGATTTTTTTGTTCACCTGGTTTTGACGGAGTGTCTACAGTTTCTATAAGAAATGATTTGGCTGTTGTCTCCTAATTGACAAAACGATATTTATTTTAATAAAATAAACTTCATTTATTACTTTTAAAAATGTTACAGTTTTTAAAGTTTGTTCAGTAAAGTCAAAAGTCTTAAAAAACCATCCCTTGTGCCCTAATAGATTGTAAAATATCAAATTTTATTCTTTAGCTACTGTCTGGTTGTAATTTGTAAGTAACATTTAATTGAATAAAGGGCTGCCCGAGTAACACAAAGTAACTTTTGAACCTTTATATGATCACTAATGTTCAATAATTTCAAATTTGGCGCAGAAATGCTCGCCATTTTATGGAGAAAGCACATTTGAAAATAATCTATTTTTAAAGAGATGTTGCATTCTTGATCAGACAAGGTGTTCACGGGTATTGTTGTGAATCAGACGTGTAACTCATGAATGGAGATCCACTTGAAACTAGGTCTACCGTCCCTTTAATTCTGAATCATGTCTCAAAGGAATTCCCTAGAATTTATCCATAACACTGCATACTCAGTTTAACTACCTTACATAGCCGGTCTGTCCCTTTAATTCAACATCATTTTTTTATAATTACAATTGAGTATTTATTCAACTTATTACATAACTCATTGAATTGAATAGAGTTAGGCAAATCAGGACATGTATATACAACTTATTCAATCTTTTACCTTCACAACAATTAAAAAGCATATTGTTAATCTGAACATCATTTTATAACTACGTGAATATGAATATATATCTAATAAGATTAATTAGATTAGAAAATAATGTGAATAAATGTTAATTGACTTTTCCTATACTTAAAAAGATATCATTAAATTCATTGAATTAAAAAATTCTAATTAATCAAACCTGTAATAATTATATTTTTAAATATTCTGTTCAAGAAATGATTTGAAACTCCAACTCCTCAAACCTGGAACTTACAAGCCAAAAATTTTTATATATAATCACTGTCTTGTCTGTCTTGTCTGTCTTGTCTGTCTTGTCTGTCTTGTCTGTCTTGTCTGTCTTGTCTGTCTTGTCTGTCTTGTCTGTGTCTAATTGACTATTAAGATTAAAACCAAGATTGAAATTGTTAATCTGTGACAATAATACGAAGCATCATATTACATATAACCGGCCCAACCTCCCCANTTAGGAACACATGATTTTATTGTTTTACAACGTCTTGGTCAGATTTAATCTACGCAAAGGTATTATTACATTGTAAAGATGGATCGATTATCATTAGCAAACATATTCTAACTCACTCACTCACTTATTCATTTAATCTCTCACTCAATCACTCACTTACTCACTCACTCATTTACTTACTTACTTACTCACTCACTCAATCACTCACTTACTCACACTCTTACTCCCTTACTCCCTTGCTCACTCCCTCACTCACTCACTTACTCACTCACATTTGCATTTTCACTCACTCACTGACTCAAACTACACTCCCTTGCTAACTCACTCACATTTGCTTACATATACATGGACAAACTAAACTTGGACAACATTTCGCTGGCAGTTATTTAATTTCACATGATGCATAAGGACAAAGTTGGCAGCACCAAACATAAAAGTTATTTATAACAAGATTGGGAGCTGTGCTCCGAGGCAAATCGGTGACTCAAGGGGTTCAGGGGCTATGATCGAATATATAAACGATCATAGATTACTTATGTAATATATATGTAGTAAATGCCCTTCTCCAGTAAATACTTTTAGACCAGTAACAATCCAGGTACAACTCCATCAGGAACTCAAGGTTCACACTAATACAAAAGTCAATATCAATCCAGATACAACTCAGTCTGTATTCTCAGGTATCTGTCTTACAAGATACAACTCAATCAGGAACTCAAGGTTCACACCAATACCATAGTCAATATCAATCTGGATATGACTCAGTCTGTATTCTCGGGTATCTGTTTTACAAGATACAACTCAATCAGGAACTCAAGGTTCACACCAATATCAAAGTCAATATTAATCCAGATATGACTCAGTCTGTATTCTCAGGTATCTGTCTTACAAGATTCAAATCAACGTAATTCCCAATCTATATCTATCATTCAAGAAAGTGATCCAGGATCCTTCTTGTTCGCTAACCAAGAAACAATTACTCTCACACCATAATCAAAGGGGAGTAATATCCCAACTGACGTTTATTTTGATATCAATGGTACAGGTTAATTAATAAACGTAAGAGCGTAGTTAGGTTAATCACAATTCAGGATGACATAGATATTTACAGACGTAGCTAGGTTAGTTTAATCGCAAGACAAGTTTTGGGTAGTTATTTACAAACGCATTTAGATTTTAGACAATGTATAACATGATTTATCTAGGTGTGTTCAGTTTTGTAACTATGGGATTTGCTACGGTATTTGTTACATATAGATATAGATGAAGGAATTTTTAGTTAGGTGAATGAACTGAATTCATTTTTTACTTTAAAGGGAGTGTCTGGCTATGTAAGGTAGTTGAACTGAGTATGCAGTTATGTCAAAAGCTTCTTGCGGCTTCATTTGAGCCATATTAAACATTTGAAAGATCTGTAAATGCTGAGTTTGAGCGCAAAGTCGACGCTCAAAACTCCTGAATTGCGGACGGCCATCTCGCAGAATGAGTTTTTTTAAAATTATTAATTAACGACGATGTAAAATGTAAAAAAGTTATATAACAAATATGTAATAGGCAATGCGCGGAACACTTTGAGAAAATAAAAATTAATTGTCATAATAAAAATAAAGGAAATATATTTTATTTTCAATTTATTTTCGTCATGTGAACGGTCCCTGTTTTTCCCCCTGATTTCGCGGTTTTCAAACCGGTTTACATATATGAAGACGACAATTTTCTCAATCAATTAATCATGTTTAAAATTAATTTTTCCAATGAAAGAAATTCCTTTTAATTTAAAGTATAATATTTTATATAATTACCTATTACAGAAATAATTTCTGCATTATAAATTTATTTTATATTTATAGGTCCGAGGAATATGAAACGTTTTTATGTAGAATCGATCAGCTGATTTAGATGACGCAAACATTATAATTGTTTCTACACAATTCACACAATAGAAACTCAATTTCGCCGAAATAATAAAAGTTTTGACTACAAAACATAAAAGTTCCGGAAAGACATGTCAATGATGTGTGGGGGTGCGCGACTGATTTAATTTATTAAATTGACGATTTTCAGGAAGACTTAGTAAAACAAATGCTGGCTTAATTATCGGAACTCTATACAAATACGTAATTGGTTACTTCCTAGAGAACTGAATGAACCCCCCCGGCCCGCCCCTCTCCTATCAATTTTGTACATGGATCTTATAAATGTAAGAATGTGTGGCCGCAGCGCTCGGCCCAGAATGTGTCAACTTAACCCGTGGCCGCAGCACTCGGCCCCATAACCTGTCCTAGTCGCAGCGCTCGGCCCAGAAAGTGTCTTAACCTAACCAACCCTAAATAAATACTAAAGTGGTCACCCTAGAAACCAGCGACGTCGCAGGACCAGTCCCATTAGGTCAAGATAGGTCAGATTAGGTCGGGTTACGTCAGATTACCAAATTGGTCGCAATATGACCAGTCCCTTCAGGTCGTGTTAGGTCAGGTTAGGTCGAGTTACGTCAGATTACCAAACTGGTCAGAACATGACCAGTCCCCCTATAAGGTCGTGTTTGGTCAAGTTAGGTCGGGTTAGGTCAAATAACCTAACTGGTCTGATACTGGTCTTAACCTGACCAATCCACTTAAGTTGGATTTGGTCGAGATTGGTTGAGTTATGTCAGGAGACCTAACTGGTCGGAACATGACCAGTCCTTCTAGGTCATGTTTGGTCAGGTTAGGTCGGATTAGGT